TGGTTGCGATATAAATCGCATTTCTTGATTAAAATTTTTTTCCTGTAAAAAACTGAAAAAATTCAGTATGGAGTATTTCTTACTCTGCTGTGAATCTTATACTTCATTCTATTTCCGCTATGTACACTTCGTATATCTTTTACCGGGCGTAGATTTAAGCCTCTATGTAACGTATATAGATGATCATCGATATGAACCCAAGAATAAGGACATCAGGAAAAAATAATAATAGAATAACAAAGAACGAAATGTAATAAACAAAATGTATTCATGCCAGTGCGACCCATGTCTAGTCATACTTTGCACTAGAAAAGATTTGCTCCAGCAGTTCTTTATTCATATAAACAATCTGTTCCATCTCATTTCCAAGTTGTATTTGGATTCAAGTTACACGAACTGATTTTGGCCGGTAGGCTATTGTTTTGTCATTGTGTCAATTAATTTGCGGTTATTACGTAAAGAATGCGCGTGGTAATCAATGAGGTCGTAAAATATCATTTCTAGAAAATCAGTCATTGGAATTGACCAATCTAAGTGCCTGGAATCAGGACCTCTACCCATAAAAATAAGGACACATGTCAAAATAAGGACAAGTCTTAGAAATAAGGAGGTAGCCCTTGGCAGCCCTGCATATACACAAATTTCGTGGTGAAATTCTGTGTACTCTTCGTACTGATTTATTTTTGTGGGTATAAATAAATTTTTGCAATTTTTTTTTTATTCAAATGAAATGAGGTACTGTATAGTTTCAGGTTTGAACTAGTTTCACAGTATGATTCCTTTGATGTTCTCTGTTTAAAAATATTTGTTTGCAATTCCCATATTTATGGTAAATTTACAAGATTTCAACAATCTCGAATATATTTTTTTCTTTATTTAATCATGTTCTAAGGTGAGACAGTTGATTTTGAAATTGTGAAGGAAATCGACAATTTTGAAATTTCAATCACATTGATTCAATAATATTACTATTAATTCTATCAGATTTGCAGTAAATGTTTTCATACAGTAAAATCAGATGTTTATTGAGAGTTATCTTTTTTATATCAAACCACTAATAAAATTATATGATTATCCATTTGTTTCTTAACTGTTTTGTTTCTGAAATATGATAAATGACACATTTTGATACAATAATTCAAAAAAGCAGGCACACATTATTTTTTTAGAGTGACAAAGCATAAATTTGAAGACAAAGTTACGATCAGACAGATATATTGGACGATCGGAAATCGTTCTGCTATTAGTGACATCGCGTGAGAAACGAAATGTTTTTCTCAGAATATTTTAAAACTACGCAGAGTAATTAACATATTACTTTGAGAAACCATAGCTTCTAATTTGATTCAGACACGCAATAGTCATGTCAGATAAATTTTTTGTCATTTATATTAAATGAAATGATTGGAAATGTTTTTTTAAATATTTTACTTTTTGTGATACATTGCGTTACTAACATTGTGTTATCAAATTTAATGTATATTTATGAATCATTGCGCTCGTAAAATCCCTGCAAATATGACATTTTTCTTTCATTCAATCTTGTTCAAACAGTTACGAATATAAGATGTGTTGTTGTCAATTAGGCTTACTCAACCCTAGACCGTTCCAGCTATTATTAATATAACATACATGATAGATGAAGTGGTGGGGCCGAACCGAAATCCAGAATTTTAAAAAATTAGTTTGTAATATCAAACTACTGGATCATTTCCACTTGTTTTGAAATGTAAATGAATTTTTGCTGTTTGGAGATAATTTATGCCCATGGTAAAGTTGTTGCGGTTTCTGGTATCGGAAGAGCGAGAATCCAATCAGAAAATTTAAAAAAAGTTTATTTGTAACCACTGTTCAATCGTTTTTAGAGTCACTAAATTCAATTATCGTGAACATTGAGAAGAAACTCTTCATGTCTGTTGTCATCCTATTGTTATTATTCGCGTGAGTTCGCTTCCGAAAGGAGAGAAAAACGACCTCAAAGTACCTGGGTTTGCGTGCAGATGAAACGAGAGAATTATGTTCAAGCACGCAATCATTCGCATGCAACACAATTTTCTAATCCAGTTCTTGAAACAAATAGATGTAACAATACCATTTCGTGCAAACAAGAAAATCTAAGTTCCGCACGATTTCTCGCAAATTTTTTCCGGAGGGGTAATGAAATTAAATCTTAAGATAAAAAGTGATCCAAAGTATTATGGGATTTACAGATTAACCCACAAAATCCCGTTTTTATTTTTCAAAGTGTTAATCGCGGTGATGTAAGAACCTTTTTTTACGACGGCTAGTTTCTGATTCGTATCGGGATCCCGAATGAAAAGAGGCCCATTTACGAATCAGAATGTGTAATATAGGCCCACTACACATTTTGCTGAACGACTTAAAATAACTTCACGTTTTAGGTATAATATTTTGAGCGATTTTTTTTCCTTGGCCAATTACTAGTATTTCATTTTTTATTCGACATAGTAAAACAAATGTTGCGTGGTGACAAACACAAAAACCGCTGTCTATACGGCAGTGCAAATGCCTATTACAAAAGAGGTGTTTAAAATGCTTATTGAAACCATTTATCCAACTGCATTCTAAGCTATCGGGTATACTGTATTTTTTAAGTATTTTGAGCACATTTTTTCTTGGCCAATTATCACTATTCCGACTATTGGTCGACATAGTTAAACATATATTGCGTGAGGGCGAACGCAAAACATCGACACTCGCGTGCTTTATCTGAATGAATCATTGCGCTCGTAAAATCCGTGCAAATAGGACAATTTTCTTACATTCAATCTTGTTCAAACACTTACGAATATAAGATGTGTTGTTCTCAATTAGGCTTACTCAACCCTATACCGTTCCAGATATTATTAATATAACAGACATGAAAGATGAAGTGGTAGGGCCCTAACGTGACAAAAACAAGACAAGTTTAGTTATAAATTAGCATATACTTGCCTGTGGCACTCAAGTTGCTCTACTACTTTAAAAACTTGCGTGCGAAGTTAAATCTCCCGCATGTTTGTGACAAGAACATCAGCGATTTAACAATGACGAATTAAAATTGACTTCCTTTTATCAAAACGAGGTCTTATCAGCCACTTTATCTACATCGACGCATCCGTTTTGTAGAAAATGATTTGGTTCGAGGTTTGTTTCTAAGTATTTTTAGCAACGAACCAAATAGATGACAATCAATATACTTCATATCAAACATAGATGCTTTTTAATTCTTGTTGATTTGAAATATTGCTCCATCACTATTTCCTGATCTGTTTTAAATTTATTTTAATCCCGATTGAAGTAAGATAGAAGGTGCGACAATAACAGAGCAGCTCGCAATATTTTTTATTTGTTGAAGTAGAATTATTAACCTTCTTTACTATTATAAATTTTAGTTTTTGACCCTACGTGACTTTTAGATTAGCAAATTTTTTAAGGTTTCGCGTCTCTAAATAGATTTAAATGAATGAGTCACAATTTCTTTTATTCAGGCGAAGCAAATGTAAAATAAAACTGAATATGTCGTTTAATGATACATAAATGCCCACTTTAATTATGATATTGAAAATAATCGAGGCTGTACAAAAAGTGGAAATATCTATTTCAAATATACGATTATGGTACATATGCTCCATGATCACAAACTTTTTTGGCGAACGGTTAGAATCTCTAACATTGGTTTTTAATGGTTCTAAATTTCTCACGCGATTGTTCTCGTCTAATCATATTAATTATTACTAAATCTTATGTAATTCAAATAAATTGCCGACTCTTCTTCCATTTTAAATTTCCCGCGAGTATTGTCTCACACGCAATGCGGTGAGATTGTTATAATTATTGCGTGTGGTGAATGATTGTTCGCGTGCGAGAGTCGAATTCAATCGTGCGATTACGGCAGTACGATTTCTTCTGGTCGTGTAATCTCAAAATATCTCTCTCGTATTTAAAAATAGAAAGCATCCATCCACTGACCAAGTATGAATAAAACCTGGTTATCTGTTTTACACGGAGATGTCGGGCATCAAAACAATTATTGTTCACACGCGAAATATTAACGACGGTGGGATTGATAACCCAGGGATGTAATTCGTTAACCAAGGCCGAAACTGTCGTGATACTTATAACTAATAGCTAAGTATGTGTCAAACTGCAGCTTACGGGTACTTTACAGTTCACACCATGTTTGACCATTCTAGAAACTAATTACTATATTCCATATTAACGGGGCCCTATTGCATTGAATCCCGTCGATAGTTTTAAATTGAACCTTAACATCCACCTAACCATGAACATATTTATGTCTGCTTTTTCAGACTGTCCTATATCTTCATACCGTAAATTTTTCTATGTAGGGTATCAAATAAATGGACATGAGAGTCCAATATGTGTGTACGATAGTAACCTATCAATGCCAAACGGGAAAAGTTCCGTTTCCTATGTCTCAGTGGATATCGTAAAAAAGCCTTGGCCTTGGTCTGAGGATGTAAAAACGACTCATAAGAACATCCTATATATGATAAATTGGGAATGCGGTTACTAATGATTTTATAAATTATGAAAACAACGTTAATGGGAAATTGGTTGTGTGGTTGTCTGGGCAATGCTGACGACTTTGGTCAGACGAAAAGTTACAGAATAAATTTGTAAACTTGTAATGCAAAATATTTGCCTTACTCAATCCTATCCAATATTCGTGTATAAGGTGTATGTTTTGCAGTGTCATTGAGACTTCTTATTCTTCGTAAAACTTTCTTCAATTGCCTTTAAATATTTTTTGCAATTCTAACAAAATCAACACCGCCTTCGTCGTAATATTTTAGACTCTATTGTATAGCGTTTACGATCTTGCCCTAAGCATATTTACAAAAACGGAATAAGATTGGAATTTGTGAATGAATAGGAGAGAATGAAGGGCGGACATTTTGTGGCAAATTAGCGTGTAAAAGTTGACCGCAAAACTGATCGTCGCGTGCGCAGGTAAGTATAAAACGAAGCTCGTATCGAATCGAGACACAATTTCTCATCGTTCTCTCGCGATCGTCGAGCAATGTATTTCCTTCCACATGTCTTGTCCGCATTCGCCGGTTCTTTCCGGCTATCGTTTGCTTTCACCGCCATTTTGTTGCTTGTGCGGTACATCTTGCGTCGCAGCAAGAAACTCAAGCTCCCGCCAGGTCCCAGAGGATTGCCAATCATCGGAAACATACTTCAACTTGGGCCGAATCCACATCTCACTATGACTGAGTTTGCCAAGAAGTACGGACCCGTATATCGTCTCAAACTCGGTTCCAGAATGGTCATTGTGGTGAATGGTAAAGATGCTATCAAGCAAGCCTTGGTAAAACAATCTGGAGATTTTATTTCAAGACCTGAAATGCACTCAACTAAATACATATGCGATGGTCACAGCGTTGCATTCGCTTCAATGCCGGTAGACGAACACAAAAGATATCGAAAGTTAATCGTTGATGCTCTCAGTGACTTTGCCCTGAAAAAGGTCAGGCCTGACGAAAACAACAACAAATTTGCAGCAAGGCCCAAGTCAATAGTGGAGCAGATTATCAAAGAAGAAATATCTAATCTTTCTAACAGACTAATAAAATCACAGAAGGAAAATGGATCAAAAGAGGAAGAGCACGGTGTTACTACATCAGATGATGAAATGACTGGTACATTTAATAACATCGCATGGACGACGTGCAACATATTCTGCTCTTTCATGTTTGGCGAACGGTAAGTTTTCACTTTAGATATAGTTACTTAAACGCTTTCTTCTTTGTATTCCTTTGTTCCAATTTCAAACAATTTCCAGATAAACAGCCAATGGTTACCTATCTTTTCGGGTTATTTACCAGTGACCAATAGTTATAATCCACGGTGAAAACTAGCGTTGCCAGAAACTAGGTTTCATGTCATTCTGTTTTAATATAAAACTCTCATTATTCTTTACAGTTATGCACCAGGTGATTCACAGATAAAGTTTGTGATTGACAGCTCCAATGAATTCAGCAAATTTCAATCCGCATCGTCAATATCAGACATGATGCCATGGGTCAGAAAGATTTATCCCGGAATACTAAAAAACTTCATTGCCGTCTCAAAAAAATTTTATGAGTAAGTTAGCTCATTTTTGTTTTCATATCTTTATCACATATTTTTGATTAAAACTATTAATAATTTTCTTGTTTCAGCTTCATGCACGATAATATCAAAACTCATATGGAAAATTTTGATCAAGTTTATGGCCAGGAAAATGTTTCACATGAACCGAAAAATGTGCTGGACGGGTTGATTATGAAATGTAGGAAATACAAAAATAATCCTCTCTTCAAGGACGAGCACATTATGAACACGGTAATAATTTATATATCATTGTTAGAACTAGTGAGCAATTCAGAGCAAAAACGCCAACAATATACGTACCAGTAATACAGCTAATGATAATTTACAGCCATTTTAGCGTAAGTATGAAGTAAAGGCATTTGGAGGTACTAGTTGCATGAGATTGGTCGGTAGAAACATTTTTCATGAACTAACTGAGAGGACGAAAAATTTAGTGATAGTCTAACGAGCATACAACTACGCTTGAATTCAATATTGTCTTTCTCTCTCGTGATAACTACAATTGACCGATTTCTTTAGTCGTAAGTGATTAATAATTCCCATATTTAATCCTGGCGAGGGTGAGATGGCCAGTCACATGGCGGCTCGCTGTTTTCTTTTTTGTGACAAGTCTAGTTCGGGCATGGGGACAGTTAATCAGTGCATGGTTCCGAATACACGGACTTTCAAATATTTAAATCTTCAAATTAACTCAATTAAAATATAGGACAAATTCACATTATTATAAAAAATATATTTTCACTTACCTATTTTGTTTATAGTCAATTGATCTGATGGGTGCTGGATTTGACACCGTAGCAAAAGCTCTGATGTGGATTTTCGTTTACGCATCCGTGTTTGAAGATGCTCAAGAAAAAATAAAGCAGGAAATTGATTCGTTTATTGGCCGGAACAAAAAGAATCCAAGGTAATGAAAACTCGAATTTTTATTGCTTGTCTTCTGACTGTGTGTATTCTGTATTTTAAATTTAAAAAAAAAAAAACGAAACTACAAAATAAATGGTTCCCCCTGAAGTATGTGAACCAAGATGGCGGACACCAGAACGTGGTATGTGTACCAGGTTAGGGTAGGCCATATTTTATTCCAATTTCCCTTATTTTAGTTCTATTACGAGTTTGGAGACTAGCCAAGTGATTCCCGTAGTATTTGTACATGAAATTATAGCATACCCCTAACTTGGTACACACAAATACTACGTTCCGGTGTCTGCCATCTTGGTTCACATACTTCGTGAGTACCAAATAGACTGTATCAATAAAGTACGGAATAACCATTTTGCTTAACTTTACTTTTGTACATCTACAATTCAATTCACGTCCTCGCTGCTTTGAATCCATCATTCAATTTTTTGTTTTTTTTAAGCAAAATCAAAATGTTTCTAAATTTTCAACAGCTTTGCTGATCGACACGAGCTTCCATACACAAATGCATTTATCCACGAAGTATTGCGTCATTCATCGTTCGTTCCTTTCACAATACCTCATGCAGTGACCCGTGACAACGTCCGCCTACTTGGATATGACCTTCCTCGTGGAACTATCGTATTTATAAACCAATGGTCAGTTAATCATGAGGAGTTGACCTGGAATAGTCCAGACCATTTCCGGTAAGTAACAAGCATTTGTTAATAAAATAGGCGTTTCAAAACAGGAAGAAGTATATTTTACCGACAGATATCAAGCAATTCGTAGTTAGACATAAGAGAGTGAACCAAATAAGTAATAACAGAATTCATAATTTCCCAAATACTTTACGAAAATTTCTTTAACACTTGGACTTGTGTTTGCATATGATTAAACCCAAAAGTAATCTAGGACGCATTGCACGAAAGTTGTGTTCTCTTTAGAATATGTTTCTAATGATCTGGGTTCTTTATTTTGGGATAATCCCTAAATTCTATCTGAAACGTAATAATCAGATCGTCTGTTTCAAATATAATTTATTCCGCCACAAATGATAAACTAGGTTCAAGATTTTTGATTCTTTATGACATACCGTATGAAACATTCCCTTCAGTAAAAAAATCGGTCAATGATTTAATTAATAAAACATTTTCTATAATTGCAGACCAGAGAGATTCCTGGATGCAGACGGTGAGTTTCGTAAGGAAATCGGCGATCAAGTTGTCTTATTTGGTATGGGAAGAAGAATTTGCCCAGGAAGATTACTCGCAAAGATTGAAATGTTCCTTTTTACAACCGAAATCATAAGAAATTGCAAACTATCAATGCATCCCGACCACCCCGGACTACCGGCGACTGAATACGCGTTGACAATGAGGCCTGAAACGGGGAAAATGATCGTTGAGCCACGATGATATATTTGTAACAGAATATATTATCCAAAAGGGATGTCCGATGTAGCAAGTTTGAAGTATTCGGTGTTCATCATAGACAGTGTGCCATATGTCAAGTACTTTCGAAAATTTTTATTTGTAAACCGCTTTATCCGAATGACAATTGTTGTATTTATGCTATTTATTCTGGCTTTTTTGTTAATTTTTCGAGCATATCATCCATTTTTTGAGTTGTAAAAATATGAAATATATTTAAGAATCACGAACGTTATATATAGTATAAGCAAATAGTATTAAGTCAAGTTGATTTTTATCATCTGTTGTACTGTGTTCCACGTTTGCAAATTTGCAAGCGTATCGGTTGGCCAGTAAAAGTTATATATATACTGTAGCAATATATACAATAGCAAACAAATAATTTTAAACGTGTTTTTTTTTCGACTGTTCAATAATGTCGAATTTGATATTTTATCTAATTTTGACGTTCAATAAATTATAATGTATGAGTGCAAGACATTTCATTTCGTTTATTTTTTGCAAATAAAATATATAAAAGGTGGATTTGTTTGTTTGATATTTCTTTTTATTTACGAAGTATTTATGCGGCTTTTGCCCCGAACAAGGCTGCGCTCAACACACAGCTATTTAAGGAGAAACTATAGTTTGTGTAAAAAGACGGCAATTTCTGTAGTTCAGCATTGTCTATCCAATTTACACCACTCTGGGTGAGGAGTGGGCATGGAATTTAAATTGATATTTAAGCTGCGATGCCATCAATAGTAGCTTCTCATCACTTAGCGAGGAAAAAATCAGATTAAGGTTATCAATGCTCCGTACAGGGGGAAGTTTTATTACTTATCGATTTTAATAGGTAAGTATGTTGATAGGTATTTGTCTGTTTGTCTGTCTGTTAGATGCACGCGATATCTCACGAAAGCGAGATTGAATCTGCTCCAGATTTTGCATGTGTATTCATCATAAGTCGGACCAGAAGCCTATTGATTTTGGATGTCGTATAATTAACGAGTTATTAATTAATTAGTGTCGTATAATTAACGAGTTATTAATTAATTAGTGATGGGACACAAGGTGTCACTATGGAGTAAAAGCGCTGTTTTGGGGATCCCCTAACTTTCGATCGACAAGTCTTCGGTCTCTGACCGATATTCTCGTTTAATATGTTCATAAAATTACGGCTATTTGCGAATGTGATACTATTTTATTATTCATTTCAGCTAAATTTTGATTATGGTTATTTATTTATTTACGAGTGAACGTGACAGAGAAGACGCGACAGAAATTCCTTCAAATTAAGTATTTTTTAAATAAATTATTTCTAACGCTATCAAAAATTACTGGATATTCTGCAATTAAAAACACAATATTTGAATATTTATTCGGATTGGAATATTTAGAATTGAAATTTAGCAATTGAATCATAAAACATCGTACATTTTACCAGCATTGCGCAGATATGACAAGATAAAGTTTCTGGAGTTGACTCTAATTACTGGTACACCTAACCTAAATATTCAAAGGAACTCGGCGCTCATGAGAATTAAAAAATAGTTCTGTTTGGTGCGGTATATTGACGAATCAATTAAATTTTAGTAGTTTTTCTGACAATTCACTTTATTTGAAGGTGGGAATCACAAATTTCCAAGCGAGTTATTTCTCCCAGCAGCATGAAAACACAAATTTGAATATCAAATGTTTTGCAACTAAACGGAAACAATAGTATCAGAACAATAACTAGCTAAGCAAGGAAACTCCGAACAAAGTGAAAAAGAGTATTTAAAGTGAACTTTTATGATTTTTTGCAGGTTTCAAAACGCATTTGTATAACAAGAAAGTAAAAACTATAGTTGTTGTTGATTGCGAGACGCAAAGATAATATTGAAGTCCATGCATTTCTGTGCACCACTATAGACATACAATTGCGTTATTAGTATCGCCAAAGTTCATTTCCTGCGACTGTTATTTAACATCGAAGAACTATTGGTTTGTGACACCATAATATAAAGGTTTTGACAGCAATAGTACCCGAGACAAACTTTCTAATGCAAATTGAAAACGACGAGATATATTTATTATCAAAATGTATAGTCCGTATACGTAATTCATGCATTCAGTGCATTAATTTGACCGAAAAAGCTTTTAAAGTCTGAGTACTTCTTACATCGTAAAGTCTTGCAACGATAGCACGGCCAGACGAAAAATGGACACATTATTCATCTACACATTGAGATTAAGATTGAGTTGTTATCATAGTCGCTAAAGCTTTGGATGATGTTTCAAATAATTATCAAACTAAATACAGTACATGATATTAAGGATTTTTTCTACGGACTTTGATCGGATAGATGAGTCGATGAAAATATAGGGGAAATGCACATCTGATAAAGAACATTTTCACGATTGAATATGTGCAACACAGGAAGATAAGTCAGTCGGAAAGCCAGGCTATTAGACAGGAAATCCTTTCAAAAAATATAATTGTGTATAACTACTGTTTTGTAGACGCTAATAACCGCGGAATAAACGGCGTGGCTTGTGTCACAGACGCTGTAGAAAAAAACTTTGATTTATTGTAAAATATTCTAGAAGGTTGCGTCAAAATGATTGCAACTGGTGTTACCCGCTCAAAAAGCATTTGTTCTTGAATTGATACTATAGCTCATAGTAAACCAACAAAAGGTTCAAATGTTTGATCACGGAGTGACTAGGTCGCTACGTTTGCAAAACATGGGTGTTAAATTCAGCAGTTCCTATCGTATTGGTGTTCAAGTTTTTGCGCTAATTGCTTTTATTGTGGTTTTGTTTGGCTAAACATAAATGTATCCCTTATGCAAGCGTTATAAAAGTTAGCGTTTTGAGTCAGCGATTGACGATGGTAATATTATTCTATTTAGTCTAGAATACAGGAATCTGTGAAAAAAATTATTTATTACGAATACGTTATTCAGAGTTATATGCATTGAAAGGTTGAATTACTTGCCTCATCAATAATGTGACAATGCAATATCATCTTTCTTGTATGCCCAGTATTGTAAATCCTCTTATCATATAGATTTGAACACGTTGCAATATGAGCATATCGAACAAGCTCATAGTCTAGAAACAGTTGTCACGTAGCTGTGTGTCTCGTCACTGTTTAAACTGCGCTATAAAGTGTCGAAGAAGATCAATGAATTTTTTGTTTGTCTTTGTTTTTGCATATTCAGATTCAGGCTTAGTGGCACTGCTCGGTGATTGACTCTATATGTGAGATTACGTATATTCAGGGATTCCATATCGTCCTTATTTCTAAGATTTGTCCTTATTTTTGACTTATTTTTAGCTTGCGTCCTTATTTTTGGCTATTTGGACTTCATAAAGGAAGCTTTGTGTTGTTGTTTTTCATCGCCAAAGCTTTTTTGTGGCATCATAAAAGCAACACAATCTTATTTGGAACACAAAGAAGCAAGGCACAGAGAGGCATAAAGCATTGTTAGTGTGGCGATTCTTAGGTTTTGTCGTGGTGGTGGTTGTTTTAGCCTAATTTTTAAAAAGAGCAAATGTAAGAACGTTTTTCGTGATGAGTACGGGAAAGAATTCAAAGTTAAACGTAGCTTGAGGGGTGAGTGCTTCGCACACCGTGACGTATGTAATTGTGACATTAACCTGGAGGCCATAGGAAAGCCAGCTATTTCTGCTCACAATGCAGAAATTTTTCCGGTCGTCCTTATTTTGGGTTCCAGATCGATGGAATCCCTGGGTATATTATATATGTATGCCAGGGGTCGGCAACCTTTTGTCGCTGGCGGGCCAAAATTAAGGGTTTCATTGTCATTGGCGGGCCGCACATATTTTTAGAAACCGAACAGGTGATACTCTTACATAATAAAAATCAAGCAGTGATACATCTCTCGAATAAAATATAGATTTATTTTCTCATTACATTGCATCTCACAAAATTATATTTGAATATTTTCAGCGTCATTGAACCCTTTGTGCTTAGCATCAACTTATCTGCGTTTGTTGCCATTTGTCTAATTACAATTAAATTATAGGCTCATTGAACGAGTAATTGTGAATTATAGGCTTGTTAGGTTATAATATAAATTAGTCTACACGTGTCTCACAACAAATTATGTTACGTAGAGAATATAATCGCCAAAACAGCTGTTTTGTTACTATAATTCAGTGAAGTGTCGCGGGCCGGATTATGTTACACCGCGGGCCGCATTCGGCCCGCGGGCCGTATGTTGCCGACCCCTGAATTGTAAGCTTTACGAGAGAACAGATATATTTTAAAGTGATTGTAGTGACATTTGAGTTGATGCTATGTTCTACGTTATAGGCAAATGGTTAGGTCAACTTCCAAAATCGAATTTATGGCAAAATGAGTTTGAAAAAGACGCTAACCGGTCTATATAAGTCAAAACCCTAATTTTAAACTGGGACAAGTTAAATGATCAGAATTTTAATAAAAAATGTGCGTACACAAATTACAAGCATAAGATCGAAATAGATGCTACTCTCTAATTGAGAAAACTGTTTAAGTCGCTATTTTGACGCAAATTGATAAAACACGTATCTTTAATCAATGCTTATTGAAGTCACCGTACTCGACTTGCTATTGAAAATATCACTATGGTGTTGTTTATTTTTATTAAAATTTATTTTCAGTCTTTCTTGGTCCCTAATTGATTGTCATTTACAATTATTGCAAATTGTTTTTTCATCACGGTTGACACATGGTTGGTTTTCACCATTTTTTCACAGCTAAAAAATTATATCAAAAAGAATTTTATATCAGTAAAATGCATTAAAAACGATGTGTTGTGCGGCTGTGCTTAACTTGGCTTATTGTTGGCATCGCCTGTGTCATGTTTTTCAAACTCAGATAGAAGTATCCCGTCTTTCTTGCAATTTGTTACTGTCAGCACTGTTACTGTTACTGTCAGCAAAACACTAAAAATATGACGAATTGGTTACTTTTATCATCACTTTTTTTTAAGATTCCATGATTAAACGTTAACTATGCTAAGTCCTGCATTAGCTAAAATTGTGTTCGCATCTGCGGCATTCAGCCTGGCAATCTTCACGAATTTGCTGAGTAATGTGACCGGGCATTTCTATAAGCTGAAGTATAGCTTTTCCGAAGAGGTTTGTTGCTAGTATTTTTTGCTGTGAATTGATTAGGAAAAGGTATATTACTAATGAGGAGATTCCCAAAGATGGAAACGAGCATAATTTTCCATTCATGACATATAGCAGGGCTCATGGTTCGGTATGAATCCGAACCTTTGGAGTATTCGATTCGCAATGCGTCTGTTCTTTGTTCTATGACAGTGTTCCTATTAACTTTGGATATGTGAAGAATCAATTACCAGGGAACTATAATGCACTTTGGGGGATGCCGAATTTTTTTGCGGTTACACAGTTTTTTAGGAATCGTGTTTCTGTTCAAGTCTTCAATCTCCGAGTTGAGGGCACTAATATATATTTGCGCGCACTGTAAAATATAACTTTGGAATGACCGGGTCCCGATAATTTTGAAGTTTTGAAACGGATCTGCGGTAAAAAGTAGTTGAATAGTCCTGACATATCATACATTATACTTGGCGTAAGTAGGACATAAGTATGTCAAACTTACATGGAACATCATTGAATTCAACGTGTACTTTTTAATCGTTTTGGTAAATTGATTGTTTGAATTGTAAATTGATTTTGTTTTTCAATTTCTTGTTGATGATCGAAAAATAGCTGTTCTTCGCAACTAATGGACCAATTGAATTCAAATTCTTAATAATAGAAGAGAAAGCTATTACTCTTCATTGTTAAAGTTCTCCTTAGTCGTTTGGAACGCGATATTTCCTCAAAAGTTGTTTTTATATTTTATTTTATTTCTTGTCAAAGCTTTTTATGAGGTATGGTAACAATTTAACCGCCACGTTTGTTCGATGGCTTTCTCATTCAACTCGTTGCTCAATACTGCCGCTGCGTGACCTCAGTGTCCATATTATATTTGAGCATTGTTCACATAATTAATGATCCTGTTTGCATGTCTCTCAAGAACGACTTCATTCTATTTAGAATTCGCTGTTATTTTCACAGGTCAATATCGAGCAAAAAGTGACTGAATTTCTTAACGAAAAGAATGACGTGTTTTATCATGCTGCAGTTGCTTCAAGTATGTATATTGTCAAAATGTCCTATTTTGGTATTGATTTTGTTCGTTACAATCAGTAGATGAATTCGCAACACCCAGAAATACAATTTCCTGTAGTAACTGTAACAAACATGACACATTCCCTTGCGGCACTCTTAGAAGGTAATTACCAACCCTCACAACAATTTCTGACACGACAATTGGAATGAAAAATATCCATAACTGAGAAGGACAATTTAGTAATCATCTGTTGTTTTATTTACTAAACTAGGTCAGCTTGAGTGTTCTATCGTTGGAAAAGACATTCTAAAAGCAGGTGGCAATGCAGTCGATGCCTCAATTGCATCAACACTCTGTGAAGGTGTTGTTGAACCTTATCATTCCGGAATTGGTGAGAAAACAATTTATTGGACACGAATTGAACTTATGTTTCGCTTTTCTTCATTTGGGGGGGGGGGGCGGGCAATTTCAAACTTTCAGCCTTTGAAGATAAAAGACGTCACTAAACAAAAATACAAAAATTACTTTTATTCATCTATTTATATTTGTGAGTTCTATGGGGAACCGTATTCCGACCCAAATTTTGCTATTTTGTATGTAATTCATAAACGCACCTATATGTAAAATAAATTCGGTACACGCCTTCATATGGCATTCGGTACAATTACCATCAATATTTGAATGGTATTTTGTTGACTTGTTGTCACCCATATATTCAAGCACTGGGCTTCTTTTTCTTATTATGATGTTAATATTAGGGTTAGGGCTGACAAAATAAGGTTAAAGAATGACGTTTTTGACGTATTCATATTCCTCAATCAATAACCAAAATTATTATTTGAGCGACTCTTCACATCTTCAGCCCTAAATTGAATTTGATTATGATGATTTATATTTGGTTATTTAGTATACTAGTGCATTATCATGATTCTCAAGTTCATAATGAATATTCCGACTTTCAACTTTTTTTGTATTGAAATTATTTTTGGCATTTGATCGAATTTTCGCCCATCCAACATCATGGCGCATCCCAAATCTACTGGTAATTATCTTAGACCAGTGTCTTACAACTTTTGATAGAGAGGAACCGCGGTAAAAAAAATCCAGATGCTCCAGAGACCCCTGTGAAATCGTTTAAATTGTTTGACTTGTTTAATAAACTATTAACAGATATATATATATATACTGACAATACTGACAAAACAAATTGATTTTTGACCTTCAGCAATTTTCATAATAGTGACACACATAATAGGTATTTAATTATATTTAAAACCATATACCTATATATATATAGATAGGGACTCTCGGATTTGATTGGGAAAGTGAAGGAACCCCAGGACTGTACTGCAGAAACCTCAGTTAAAAGCTCCTGTGTTAGATACTAATGGTCTTTTAAATGTATTTAATACACTTCCGTATATTTCCAGGTGGAGGAGCAATTATGGTAATTTACAATCACACAACAAAGTCAACAACAACCATATTATCTAGAGAGAAAGCACCGTCAGCTGCCACCAGCGATATGTTTGTCGGGATTGAGAATCCCAAAAGAGGTGCAAAGCTTATCGCAGTACCAGGTCAACTAAGAGGCTTAGAGTAAGATTTAATATTGTTGAATACAAACCCGCGTTGTAAAAGTCATATAATATAACTATATAGTTTCCAGTCATAGGATTGTTAGTCGTTCAAGAGCAAAACGACTAGTCGCAAAGCAATCATTTTTTAAATTACTGTAAGGCCTTCACACACCATCAAGCCAAACAAAGCAGCTACTGAAATGTCAGCTTATTCCCAGCTGTGCATTGCCTACTCGATTTACTCGTAAGTTGTTAGGAGTTGAACATAAACCAGAGATCGGTGACCTTTGACATCAGCATACTTAGGTCCATTGATCACTATGTCACTGCGTGGTCTCAAATAGAATATGAAGACCCGGGATCATGGAGTCTATATCTGAATTGTTTCACAAAACATATTTGAATTAGTCAGTTCAGAATTCTGTAATCTCATTTGTCGATCCCGAGTTGAAGCAAATTAGTGAAGTAAATCTAAGCAACAAAGAAATATCACCTTCGCAAATTTAAGAAAAATTTCTAAATCATCATTCAGATATGCCTACAAGAAATACGGTGGAAAGATATCTTGGACTTCTCTTTTCCAACCCGCCATTGATAAAGCTAAAAATGGATTTACAGTAAGCGGAGAATTAGCGATTATGCTGGAAACGCTTTACAAAGATGTCGTAGCATGGGAACTAGATTCGTTGTTTTGTGATATTTATTGCAATGAAGATAAAACTGGGGTAAATATTTCTGAATAAATACAATTGGTCTAGTTTACTATATACTACCGTTCCTTTAAATAAGACTTTATATAAGATCGCTTGAAGTTCAATCGTGTTTCCATGCATTGAGGTTTAATACCTAAATCTTATTCTTCACATTATATGTTAATAACGTAGAATACTTCTTATTCAATACTGTGATTTGAGCAAATTATTCCAGTAAATTTTATATTTTGTATATGCAAAAGCCCCATTCTGCAGCGAAAGATTTCTGTCGGTATCGAAATCGCAATATTCCTTCATGTAACCAGAGGCGGATTATGCCCCTTTGGTGCCCAAAGCACTGAATACTTTGGTGCCCCCTTATGTGTAATTTAATTATAAAAACAATAAACCCCATTACTGTATTATCTATTAAAAATAATCACAACAAACAGTAAATAAAACAACTTTCACGAACATTTTCAGATTTTTTACTGTTATATATAGCCGATGATATTGCCTATGATATATCGGCAAACACACAACATCGGGCCGATATAACGGTTGAGCTCTAATCCTGAAGGAGTGTGACAATAAAGATTCATGCCTCCAGTCTCAACGTGAATCGAAATACCAAAGGATACAAGTCACAACTGTAGTTTATAATTTTACGGGTACCTAGTAGTCTACCTCAGCGTGGTTCAAGGTTGCTAAGTTGAAGGACCGCAAAAACTTTTGAGGAGGTCTCGCGGGCTGCAAGTCGGAGAAAACCCATAGTGATCGAAATATCGCGAGTTTAATTACTTTTAATTCAATAAACAACCAGAGTTTACCGTTCTAATCAGACCATTATTATGTTGCATGAGTGGCGTTCTTTTAAAATTTCTCGCATTGTCGGAAGATATATATATAAAGCCTTCAGTTTTTTAAAAATTAATTCCCTAAAATTACCGTTGTATTTTCCGCATCTCGCGTTTAATTTCGCTTCAAATTATATTATTTCGTGACAGATATTACTTGAAATCAAACCAGACACTTTGTGATGGGCAAGGAAATACGCTTCCGCCGTGTTTTCCTCATGCCACTTTTCTTGTGACAAGCATTTTATTACGAATTGTTATATTTGAGTAATTTAAAAACTTGCAGCGTGAGCAAGCTTAGTGACATCGTCAAATAACCACCAAGTCCGTCTAAGTTGGTATTTCGGGACCTTGCTGAAAAAAACTGGATTGCGCGGCGTTAAGTCGGCTCTGTGTTTCGTCACTACTGACACATGGCCCACGCTGGAAAACAGAGAAGTGTTTTTACTGAAATAAAAGCACAAAGGGTTAGAAAAAAAAATTTGATTCTCGGGATTCCAACCTCAGTTGGAATATCGAAAAAACTCAAAAACGCTCTGCTGTTGGATACAAATATACGCTAAAATTGTTCTGCGGGCCGCACGGAATGTAGCAGCATGACAGGGATTGGACCACCCTGGTCTACCTTATCAAAAAACTCCCGACTTCGCTGACCACTAGATCGTTGAAATGCGATCGTCGAACCGCTACATAGTGCAAATAGTTTATTGGTCCAATTGTTGAAGAGAGAAGAAATTTTTTTAAAACAAAAATGCAGCAACGAGGGGAATGATAAGAATTTTTTTTTTTACAAAACGACTCATAGGCCCATTCCGTGTCCAATAAATAAGCTTCAGTGCTTATTTTTGATAAAGAAGGATAATGTGGCACTTGAAGACAAAAAATAGGCAAACATTTCGAAGTTTGAGTGGTATGGTGAACTCGTAATATTTTAAATAAACACCGATAAACTATATAAAATCATGCTATAAAAATTTCTGTGGTGCCACTCTTTGCTTGTCGCGCTAAGCACGTGCTTATATTGTTACTTATCGATCTTAAGATCGGTTAGTATATTGATAGGTATTTGTCTGTATGTATGTCTGTCTGTGTGTCTGTCTGTTAGATGAACGCGTGGTTGAATCTGCTCCAAATTTTGCATGTGCATGCATCTTACCTCGGACCAGAAGCCTATAGATTTTGGGTGAATTATGTCGTATAATTAGCGAGTTAATAACTAATTACCGATCTGAGATCGATAAGTCTTCGGTCTCCGACTGATATTCTCGTTTAATGGTTGATCCGGCGCTGCATGCAACATACCACTGAATAAAATATTGACATCCTTGGAAGCTGGCTATCTCAGATTCTGTTTCCTGGTGACTGGACTACCAACAATTTTTATCGAAAATTTAATGCTTTTATTTAGATGAAGCAGGAAGGCGATACTGTAAAAAATCCTCTGCTTGCTGAAACGTTGACAAAAATTCAGCAATATGGAGTAGACGTATTTTACAATGGTGAAATATCAGATCAAATAATTGATGAAATTCGGGGTCAAGGAGGTATCATAACCAAGAAAGATTTGTTGGTTAGTTTATAATGAGATATTAGTTAGAAATGCAACAATATTGATACAAAATTGTAGAGATAATCGGTAAATAAAGGTTATTTAGGACTGGGAATTGGCTAAAAAAGTAATCCAACTTGCTACTCTGATTACCCTAGTAAAGTAGGGTAATAATAGATGATATATATATATATGACACAGCCTGCCGATGTAAACTAAACAAGATAGCATTCCTATTTCTATTTCATATTTATCAGGATTATGATGTCATTGAAAAGCCATCAATAAAAATCCCACTTCCAAATGCGGGTTACACAATGCACGCATCCCCATTACCTATGGGAGGTCCGGTGTTAGGAGCGATACTATCTGTCATGGACCTTTTTGGCATCACTCCACAAGACTACCAGAGCAATGCAACAATTCAATGGCAAAGAACAATAGAATCATTCCGACATGCTTATGGAGCACGGTATAGCATGGGTGACCCGATCTTTGCTCCTCAAGCCCAGATTATAGAAGATAAAATAGTATCTGGAGACTTCGCAAAGGAGACTATAAGTAAAATATTCAGTGATAGAACTTTTCATGATCCTGCTTATTACGGCGCAAAATTTATGAAACCTACAGAATCATCTACTTCACATTTATCAGTACTTGATCAAAATAAAAATGCTGTTGCAATCACATCCACCATTGCCTACTCATGGGGGTCGTATGTAATATCACCATCAACTGGAGTTATTTTTAACGATATTATGACGGATTTTTCATTTCCAAGTGAGTTTGTCTTTATTCCAGTTCAGCTATTAGTGATGTACATGAGCATGTTTTTTTTTTTTGGTTCAGATAAAAGTTGTCATTTTTTCCATATATTCAAAATTTCACGAATAGATTTCTGTCTAACTAATCGTCGAGGAAATAATTCTATATTTATCAGTTCAAGAGTTCCTGAATTGAAGGCAAAAAATGAAAATAATAATTCTGTGTCCCTATTATATAAGCTGGAGATCCTGCTCACGACTCTGAGCTATATGCAGAAAACCAAATAGAAGGCGGAAAACGTCCCTTATCATCCATGACTCCAGCGATATTACTAGATAATAACCAACAACCAGTATTCGTCATCGGAGGAGCTGGTGGATTGAGGATTCCAACATCTGTTGCACAAGTATTACTCAGGTAGAGTTTTTTTAGATGCTATAAATAGAGATTTCATATCATACTTTATACGCGTCTTACAAAATAAATTTGTTGTTTGCGGCAAATTTTTATTGGTAATAAATATATTTAATTGAATATTTAGCGCGACTCGCATTTACCGTGACTATTTTTGGCTTCAGCCTGATGAATGAAGCCTTAAAATACCTCATTTGCGTGTTAAGGTGTTTGGAAAAATTGAATTTTAGACGACGTTTTAGGGCTAAATGTTCTGTGAAAATCAAAACCCACAACAATTTAAAATAGAAATTTGTCGCTCAATTTCCATCAGTGATGGAAATGCTTCTTGAGACGAACCGAACCCGTAAATCGTTTTTTTATTAGTTTTTCGTGTTGTTGTAATTGTGGCAAAATAAATAAAGATGGAAGTGTCTTCTGTATTTCTATTTTATAATTCCATGAAATGGGATGACAGATATTGACAAGCAGTGCTGGTCCATAAATAACATATGGTAGGTAACCTTGTGAAGTTGAGCAACTATCGGTACGATATACTTGGCACTGGCGAAGTTATATGTATTTGAGTCTTGCTCTCTTCCGATATCATGAAGGTTATGCGTATCATTCGGTATTAAATTTACAGCGGGAATAACTTTAAATGTATAATGCATGATTCATGGCAAAAATGAAGATTTAAGCACTAAGTACACAATAAAATATAACAAGATGATTTGATTTAATTCAGGTTATTATACTTGGGTTCCGATGAAGACATCACGTCTGCAATTAAAGAAAAAAGACTGCACGACAGTTTGATACCGGATTACATGGAATATGAAGGCGGTTTCGTTCCAGGAGTAGTGGAAAAATTACGGAAAATCGGACATAATATTGTAAGTTGAATAACGAATTTAAAAATCAATGCAAAAGTTAAATAAATTGTAGCAAGATACTTACGACAAAATAGGCTGGCATTTGATGTAAATAAACTATTATGAGTAAATGTGTAAAGTAAAATAGTTTATAGCAATGAATAATAAGATTGTTTTGCTGACTTGTTCCCATTATTGGAAGAAAATTCGATTTTCTCTTAAACTATTCGGCCAATCGCTTTCAAAAGTTTCAGTAGCTCGATACAAAAGTGTAGAAAATCATTCATTTTTCTTCATAAAAATAAATCTAAGTCTACTAAATTAGACACACTTAGTCTAACGTTATTGATGCAATCAGATAGGACGAATAAAGAATACATCAAATTGGTACACTGAATCCGCATATTGGTTGGTACCGCGTGGGATCGATTACTGGAGTATAGTTAAATAGTATTGATTGAATAGTCATACTCAATGATTCCCCTTCACTTACTTCTTTTGTAGTTGTTTGTACGAAGGCCGAAACTCATTTAGCATGCATTGCCTCTACTGTATAAGGTATCAATTATAATGTAGGAAACCAATTAATTCATAGATTGATAAATATCATACATATTTATCCTTAACAACTCTCAATATTTTAAATTTTCAAATTTGTTTCTCGTCTTACAGAAAACGATGATTGCAAAACCCCGCGTTAACGGAATCCAAATTATAAAATCTCAAATCAATGCATATTCGGACCTAAGAGACAAGGGAGCTGGAGCAAGTGGATGGTGAAAAAGACAATGCAAAAGTATCATGACATAGAGTGCCATATCTGACTCAAAAATAAATTGAAACTATCAAGCCTTTCCTCTGCATTTCTTAGATTTTAAATACCTGAATTATACATGAGTATCAACTACCCTGTTTTGAAACTGTGATCTTATGATCAACTACGCACTTGTTAGTTGAAATAATATAGCGAACAATATAATTCGACTGAAAACTGATTTATAATTAGTTATTGTCAAATTTTCATATTCAGCAATCTTGGTACCTCAAATATTTTATCACATCCATTGGTCCTTACCAATACAAGTTATTGATATTCTTTTGAATTAAACGCCACAGGCGTTTTTTGCGATGACGTATTCATTTTTGAAAGACTTGTACGTGATATATAAAGGTGATTTGTACCTGAGATGTCAGTTAACGGTTAAAATAAATCATAACCGTTAACCATCTTAAATAGGTTAACTGATTAACCGGTTAACCATTCCCAGCCCTAATAATAAACTATGAATATAGTCCTATCTTTTCACGGTCGTAAGTCATTCGCTGGTACGATGTAAGAGGCGACTAATATGAAGTGAAATTATGTAATAACAGGAGAGCAATTCTAAAATATATAAACACGAAGGACAAAACGGTGTAGCATCAAATATTTTACAGTACCGGTAGTCTAACCACGAGGTCGCTGTAATGTGATTGCGGAACCGCTACACGGCGTGCAGTTTTTAATTTTGTCATCACACACAACTGAAAGTTAAAAAACGAATCATCGACAGCAACAATCTTTAGCCACTGAGAATTTCAAAGCACAACAGCAACGATCCATAGGCCCATTTCGTGTCCAATAATCCCATGTGTAAAATCGACAGGTTTCCAGTGTAAATTCCAATTATAGAATTCCGTGTATGATTGATCTATTTTATAAGGATTCAATCTTGTGATCGTTCAAATAAAAATGGAAATATATGATACATGTATCACGTTCTCACATCATGGGCGCTTCGGCAATCAGTCACGAATTTTGTTCTTCCATAACTGCATTATCCGTGTCTGCTAATTCCATCACTTCGCGTTAGTATGAATCAACAATGGAAGATAAGTATATTGCGAATATAGAATACAGTAAAGATTAAAGAAAATATACAGTGTTGCATAGAGTAGCATAAAAGAAATTTATTCACGAAAATTGCTGTGACACTGTCAAGAGGCCGAACGTGACTTTGCACTCGGGAATAGGTTTCAAATATCTTGATGATAAAAACGAAAAAAGTTCCACTTCGTTAGAATTTCTTGACCAGCCGAGTGTAATAAAATACATATATATATACTAGTACAGGACCCCTAAGGCTATCTATTCTGGACAACATGACAGAACACCCAGTGGAAAAGCTAGGAAACGAGACTCATTTTAAAAATATTCTTCAGTGATTTGTAGCCTATATGTGCTATAAACAATATCCAAGAAGCTGCTTGTCACTCAAGTGGAGTGGAATAAGTCGTATTCGGTGTTTTTTCGTAATAGTTCGATAAAAATGGCCAGACAACTTCAAGTGGTGAAAGTGACGTTGTTATAGTAGGTTATGCGTACCTTTTTTAACAGCAGTATACGATTGTAATCGAGTGAGGATCTATAGTAGCAAAAAGTTTTATTGCTTCGCTTCTGACAAACTCGCTTCCATTTCAATTCAACTAGCCCTAATTTTATGGCATCGTTATGGCACATCCCTGCGTGTAGAGCGTGTTTGAATCATTAGTAATACTAAACAAAGATATATCGGATAGCGCGTTATTTCTAAGGCCGGTCTAGAGTAGGTAACACGTTAAACTGTGAAAACCCTCACGGAAAACCAATTTGTAACACTTGTATTACTGATCGGAGATTCCTCCTATTATTTAACTAGCAAATTCCTGCGGTCCCCTGTGATAGGCATCTACAGAGATATATATAAAATAAAGATGAACGATTAATAGTTAAATTTAAGGGTATTGAGGGAAGTAATCCCGATTGTGTTATATGCAAGTATTGTATAATAAGAATGGATTCCCTGACACGAGAATTTAGAATAAACTAGAAAATAGTAAATATGTACGCAAGCAAAGACACGCCACGACAACGTATTTGACAAAAGGTAACTATTGAAACGTGAATTTCCTGATCATCGGAAGCGATATGGTTTCCTAAGAACAGTATTGAGGGAAATGCATAAGGTCAAAATTGGGTTTACGAGAAGATTTGTTTTTTAAAATACTGTTGCTATTGAACATGCAACACAAATAGGAACCGCTTTACATGAGAAAAAGAGAGGCGATGTAGCGTTACTGTTATGTAGTTGTTTGCAGAGAATTAAAATCCAAACTGTTTACAAAATTATTTATGTTTTATTGACATGACATTGACAGCTACAAGAGATTAATTTAATTTAATAAAATACACTAAGAATGGGAAATAGACGAATGAGTGTTGGGTTCATGCTTATTGCAGCATGTATCCTAGCCATATTTGGCAATCGTTCTGCATCAGAAGATATACGTGCTTATCTGATAAATCAGGTATGAAATTGTTAAATCTCAATTTCACCTAAAATAAGTAAAAGTGACCGTCACTATAAACGAGTGATTACAGGAATTTTCAAGAACTCTTTTTATTACTCAAAGTTTTGATATGGATATTAATGAAGAAGCGACCCGCAATATAAGTCTGTCTCGATTCCAGCATTTAGCTTGCGAGTTGTATGATAACAAATACACATGTTAATAAACAATATTTCGTACCACAGTCGTTTTCCAAACCACGAGCGCTATTCAGCGAATTAAACATTGTATTGAAATAGCAAACTGGACAAGCTCAGAAGTAATAAGACGAAAATTGCGTTATGTATTATATTAATATAGTAGGTGCTAAATAGAGATTGATTTATAATAATTAGAAAAAAAAATTGATTTCACAGCCCGACGAAACTCAAGAAAGTCGAGATTACGTATTTGAGCATGCTGCAGTTGCCGCAAGTATGAGAAATTTATTTTACTTCTTCGCAGCAATATGATATTCTCTATCAATATTATATATAAGAGTATATATTACAAACATTGAATGTTTTTATATGTTCAGGTCAACTTGAATGTTCGGTTGTCGGAACAGACATTATGCAAGCCGGTGGGAATGCAGTAGACGCGGCAATCGCTACGACAATGTGCGAAGGCGTAGTTGAACCATACCACACATCAATAGGTAATCGTAGCAAAAATGAGAAACCAGAAGTCGTAAATAGTCAAGCCTGAAAGACTCACTTGTATGTTTTACAGGCGGAGGGGCCACGATGCTGATTTACAATTCTACTACAAAGTCAGTAACGAGTATACTCTCCAAAGAAAAAGCTCCCGCTGATGCTACTCCAAATATGTATATTGGGGATGCAAATCCTTCGAGAGGAGTGAAATCTATAGGTGTGCCAGGACAATTAAGAGGCCTGGAGTAAGATATTTTTGTTTGAAAATTTTCCATGTATACTTAGCATTCGTTATTTAAGAATTCGCCCTGTAGCGGGCATGGTAATCCATCAATAACTTATTTAAAATTAGGTATAACGTAGTAAATGTTCATTAAAACACGACAATTGTATTAGTTTATCCTTGAAGAGATAAGCGCACAGTATTGTATTCAAACAATTTTCAAATAGGATTAATTGTTTCATTTCAAAAGTTTCATAGACATTTAACGACTACTGTGTTGTGTTTTATAACAGATACGCCTACAATAAATATGGGGGGAGGGTAAGTTGGGCTGCTCTTCTCCAGCCCTCCATCGATAAAGCAAGAAACGGATTTAAAGTCAGTGGACAATTGTCAATTGCATTGACAAGTCTATATGAGAACGTGATTGTCCATGATACAAATTCTGTATTTTGCGATATTTACTGTAATGAGGACAGAACAGGAGTAAGTACAAAGTTTTTGTATTGAGGTAATTGAATTAACGTCATATGTAGTGCATGTTTTTATATTTTATTACATATGAATAGGTGAAGCAAAAGGGTGATATTGTCATAAATCTACTATTAGCTGATACGCTGATAAAAATCCAACAGCATGGTGTAGAAGGGTTTTACACGGGCGATATGGCAGACATCACAATCAATGAGTTTCGGGCACAGGGAGGAATAATGACAAAAAAAGACTTAATGGTGGGTTGTTAGGGTATACTTAACTCACTATCACATGAAACCACAATTTGGAAATTATTTAATACAAATTTTATTTTATATATCCTAGGACTTCGACGTAATTGAAGAAGCTGCTATTCCAATTCAACTCCCAAATGCCGGATATACCATGCATACAGCTCCTTTACCGATGGGTGGTTCAATATTGGGAGCAACGCTATCTATCATGGATCTCTTTGATATCAGCCCGCAAGATTACGACAACAGTGCCGCACTTCAGTGGCACCGTACAATTGAAGCGTTCAGACACTCTTTTGGGGTCCGTTACGAGATGGGAGATCCGGATATGTATCCGGAATCACAGGACGTAGAAGATCAAATTGTATCGGGTGAATATGCAAAATCGGCAATAGAAAAAATTCATGATGATGAAACCTCCCCCGATCCAGCATATTACGGCGCAACTTACCTAACCTATCCCAAAGAAACATTTACTACGCACGTATCAGTCATTGACCAAAACAAGATCGGTGTTGCAATCACATCAACCATTTCTTCACTGTGGGGTTCTTATTTCATGTCGCCAACAACAGGAATTGTATATAACAACGTAATGTCAGTTTTTTCATATCCAAGTAAGTAAACTTTTATGTCATAAACACAATTTGTCCAACGAGTATGGTATTTGCCTGTTGTGGAGTTATGACTAGCACAAAGCTGACAAAAAAACATGCTAGCAATTTTAAAAGAATTTGCTCAAAGAAAGTATTCAGCCATAAGTGGAGAAGGCATATTTCTAAGCAAATTTAAGGACTAATACTGAAATGATAATGACTACTAAAACTCTATCTAGGAATCAACAATTTGTGGTAATGCATCACGCACAAGCATATGCCAATTTGAGCAAGAATTGAACTGACTTGATCAATAACAGCATGAAAATAACGTCCGGTGCACACAGGGTCGTGGGATTGTTAATCGTGTGGCCCACGGAATTATAAACAAAGCGATTTTTTTCTAATGTCTTTATTTTTGCATAAAGCATCTACTATCTGTTAATTTTTTATATTCAAAGCCGGCGATCCAGATCACGATTCCAAACTGGTTCCATCCAATCAAATTGAAGGTGGGAAACGAGCCCGATCAACTATGTCTCCTGCAATATTTTTAGATGAAAATTCATCCCCTGCTTTCATTGTTGGGTCTGCTGGTGGTGTACGTATACCTACATCAATCGCACAAGTTATGCTCAGGTGATCAATTAAAGCGAAAAGTAGTCTTTCATTGTGATGGACTCATGGAATCATGCACAAACAGGAGTTTGAGTATGCACAAAATCAAATAATTTACTTCATTTTCACGGAAGTAGGCTAATTAGAGAACTCATGGTTCCCGTTTTTTTGGGTTCACCCTGTACTAAAAACATGTACTCGAACACAGAAATTTTCATAAAGTCTATTCACAAATTAAAATCGTAATAAATTGTAAAGGAAATGTATATATACCCTTTCTGTGGCGATCTATTCGTCCAACAGGCGTCATTTCCGCTCATTTGAGTTGATATTTTGAAATCAACTCATAGGTAACTTTGTTGTTCCTCCTAATTTTTGTTTTAATCAATGTCTACAAATGCAAAAAAATTTCACTCGAGAATAAGAAATCTCCATTTACGCCCCTCGTTTAATGCCCTTTGTGTGTCAGAGAGTCAGCTTGAGTTGGAAAATACGGCTTATAATTTACCCATTTTTCCAGAATCTTGTACTTCGGAACTGATTTTAGCATTGAATCATCTATAAATAAAAGAAGACTCCACGACAGTTTATCAAGCTCTGGCGCATTTGAATACGAGGATAGGTTTGATCCTGATATCGTCGAAGAACTCAAAAGGATCGGACATAAATCTGTAAGTTTGTTAAATCTGTAAGTAAATTTGTGCATGTGTGTCTCAGCAATAGGGCAAACAATAGATAAAAGGTAATTTCGACTTGGCGTGATTGGCATTTGAGAAAAACTATATCTCTCTACAATCTATATATATATATAAATATATAAAAAAAATAGAACTTGAGTTTTATAGAATGCAGTTTTAAAAATCGCGAAGTTCACGTTTCAAATGACCTAAACTACTTTTTCTGGTTAGCATAGGATAGGGTCACAACAGTGTGCACAGTACGATTGCAGATGCAGTGAAATACCGGATTCCGTACATTTGAGCATTTTTTTTTTAATTCTTACCGGACGCAAAATTTAACCCTAAATTCCGGTCATGTCCGGAATTTTCCGGACTGTATGGCAACCCTAGCATAAAATGCAGTTACAGCCAATTCAGGTATACGAAAAAAACTGCCTAATGCTTTTGATTTTTGATAATAAATTTTGCGCCAGAAATAGGCAGACATAACCTACTAGTTATGTTTATCCCTTTCTGTATCGACCCTAATACTGTTTTCTGTTCTCTTTGAATAGCAAGCGATGTTGTTGATATCCACAATTAGTAGCGAAATTGCTTTATGTATTTTCATTTCTTTTATATGTATACAGAAAATCATGACTAGTAAAGCCAGAGTGAACGCCATCCAGTTGAAAAATTCTCAAATACACGCATTCTCTGACATGAGAAACGAAGGTGCCGGACCGAGCGGATGGTAAAAATAGAACAGTCTGAAGACAAAAAGACTATAAACTGAACCGTTTCGAAAACAAATAAATGAAATGTTGGTCATTATATATCTATGGCTAATACAATAGTTAAGACATACCATGGACCGTGGTACAAAAGTTACAGTTATAATAACGATAACATTAGGTCGACATTTTGATGTCCACCATATTATTCCGCTTTCCATAAGTAAAAGGTTTTGCAGTTTCTTGGTGAAACTTCTCTTCTCTTGGTGAAACTTCTTTGAAATAATATTAGACGTAATGTGTTTCTTTATTATTGTATAAATACATGCTTGTCTTCACCAACGGACAATAGTTCTGCTAGGTTATTATTAACGGGTATAATTTTCGTACAACATAAGTGGACATTTGATTTGGTTTAAGTGGGACTTACTACTTATAGTTCTCCTATGCCAGTAGTTCTTAACCTTTGCGAGCCTTCCGAACCCCTACGCTATTTTTCTAGCTTCTGTCGAACCTTATCGTATTAAACGATTAAAACTAGGAGTGTAATCAGAACTTTATGGAGGGGAGGCTTATTTTGCACAATGTTATATAAAAGAATCATTATGGTGTAACCTTTGATACCAATACTCTGAGTGAAAAAAAAACAATATCAATAGATTATATATATATAAAGTATCCTTCACGCAAATATTTAGTCTAAACCCCAAGATTTTACGATATTTCGTGCTGTTCTCATAAGCAGAAAGCATCCTAAAAAGCTATCACAGAGAAGTACACACAAGCTATGGCGTACAACATCTACGACGATATGAGTTTTCGATGAAGTGCAATGGAATCAAAGGTGTTAAAGTCACAGACATTTCCACTAAAACCGTATCCATGCGAAGCAACATAAGCTAGGTCAGCTAAGTTATATTACGAGTTGTTTAAAGTTCAAGTCTGTATATCGGCGATGAACTACAGTGGTTTTTTGCATAATTAGTGGATCATTTTCTAGTGACTCTTTTAGATACGATGTTGCGTTATTGTGCAACAACTCCACAAAAGCTATTCTTTGTAAGGAAAATTTCAATAACTCTTTTAATACTTTCCTCGGTGACATGAAATGATTAATCAACAAACATGCTCCTTTACGACCCTTAATACGCAGAGAAAACAAACTCTTCTACAAAACTTGGATCACTTGGGGACATCCATCAAACAAAAAAATAAAATGTACAAAAATAGATTCCTGAGTGGTGAGCGTGCCCATTTCAAAAAGTAAAGAAATATGTTGGGTAATTTGCAGAGGAAATCAAAAGAACTGTTTTATCGTAATATGCTCCAGAACAACCGAGAAAATGTAAACCACACATGAAAAACTTTCAATGACATTATTAGGATTAAGTCCAGAGATGACACTTCCATCTCAGAATTGAAGCTTGAAAACGGAATCATTGTGTCAGACGCAGTCACGGTTGCCAGTGAATTCAATAAATTCTTTTCCACATTAGGGAAAAAACTTGCAGACAATCTCCGAGGTGCTCTCTTGCAAATTTTTTTTTTTTTGATCCTACGTCACCCACGGAGATTCTCCAGATAATATTAAACCTGAAAAAGGGGAAAGCAGTTGGGCCCGATGGTATTCCATCCAACATTTTAAAAATTTTCGCTGATATTATATCACCTGAGCTCAGTCATTTTTTTAATTCATCTAACCATGGAACTTTAGATTTAATTTCCTATATTCATGAAAAGCTTGACAAAGGAGAGTTTGTATGTTGTATTTACCTAGATCTCAAAAAAGGATTGGACACTGTAAATCACAGTATGTCTTCACAAAAACTAAGACACCTTGGTTTTCGAGGTGCTGCGGGCAACTAATTCTGCGATTACCTGTTTGGTCGACAACAATTTGTGGAGGTAAATTCCCAAACGTCTCCATCCATTGCGAAATTCCTCAAGGATCGGTATTAGGACCTCTTGGTTTCTTTGTCGCGATAAATGATCTGTCGTCTTGCTTCAATTTCTTAACCAAACTATTCGCTGACGATGCGTGCCAACCTGCCAGTGCAAAAGACTTGAATATGCTTCAAATCAAGGTGAACACTGAAATCACCAAAATTTATGATTGGATGATATGCAACAAATTTACAGTTAACGTAGATAAATCAAAAGTTATGTTGTTCAACCCCAAACCTCGCACTAAACATTCAAACATCTCAATTAAAATTAAGGGTATCGCGATGAAAGTTGTCAACTCATATAAACAACTGGCGGTTTTTATCGACAACCAACTAAAATGGAACACGCATACAGCAACCCAGCGAACTGTATACTTTGCCCTTTTTCAGACCCCTATTCAGTATGGTATAGCTGAATGGAGATCTGCTTCCAATCTGCTTGCATAAATTAGAGGTTCTACAAAATAGGGCTGTTAGAATTCTTGCTAGAGCACCTACTCGTTCTAACTAAAACACCTTATATATATTACAAGACCAGGGTGCGACATTGTCCGACATTTACCATCAGACCTGCTAGATGTTTTGATCTAACTTGTCAATTATTAAATTCAGCCCCCCCCCCCCCCCCCCCTCAAAATCGTCAGCTATGCCCATAATGCAGGGATGGAAACATACGTCCCCCGGGCCGGATGCGAGTAATAGAATCGGGCCCACGACGGTTCACCGAATTACAGTAACAAAACAGCCAGTTTTGACGATTATTTTTTTTACGTAACAGAAATTATTGAGACACGTGTAGATTAAATTATATTATAATCTAACAAGTATAAAAATCACAATTACTCGTTTAATGAGCCGGGTGCAAAGGGCTTAATGGCGTTAATGCTGAGTGCAAAGGGCTTAATGGCGATGAAAATATTCAAATGGAATTTATTAAAATGCAGTGCAACGAGGAAATAAATATATATGCTATTCGAGAGATGTATCACTGCTTAATTTTTTTTTTATAAAAAGTTTCATCCGTTCTGTTTTCAACTTTCTAAAAATATGTGCGGTCCACCAATGACTTGCAACCCTTAATTATAGCCCGCAAACGACAAAAAGTTACCGACCCCTGCCGTAGGGCCTCACACTAAATATTGAATGTATCGCCAAAAGATTTTCGGTCTAAAAGATGATTATTTTTCAGGTCGCGGGACTGAGAATTCATTGGTGCTCCAGTTGATTGAAAAGCAGCATAGAAAAAGAAAAATGTAGCAATGTCCACGTGATAGAACCTAAATTGCCTTTTACCCCAACTAAAAACCACTCCCAAAGCCTTAAAAAACATCAATACCACTATTAACATAACTCGATATTCAGTGTTTAATCACAATAGTAATTAAAATAATAATTTGTAGTTCTATGGGTTATTGAGAAAAAAACTTGGGTAGTCCAGAAATACGTGTACCAAGATGACGGACAACGGAACATAGTATGTGTACCAGGTAAAGCCATAATATTAGGTACAAATACTACAAAACTCACTTGGTTAGTCCCTGAACTCGTAATAGAACTGAAATAAGAAAAATTGGAATAAAATTATGGCCTAGCCCTAAAGTGGTACACACGCTACGTTCCAGTGTTCTCATTTCTTGGTACCCATACTTCAGGAGTAAGGAAACTTGATGGTGAGCTGCTGTGTTTATTGTTTTCGTATTCCATGAGTCCTATTGTCCGTCTTGTTGTTATTATTTTGGCTGCAGTACTTTGCGTAAACATTTGCTCTAATTTTTTGAGTGCTCTTTTTCAAGTAGTGTTGTTACATCTTGACATTCAGCTACATTGTTTGATAGGTATTCGCTAATGAATGATTTGAAAATACTTTTCTTTTATATCAAGTGTCGGATTTTCAATGATGTGATGATGGAAATAAATTTCGGGTGCTTGCAGGTATTGAGATAGCCCTTGTATAATTATTGACTCTTGAAAAAGTTATTTATAGATTGGTTTGATTCATTTCTTGAGCAGAGCCTTGTGTTTCTGGTTTGCATTGTGAACAGAAATTGCTACTTTACCTGTGGATTCTAGATTATTGCCATTCACAAAGCATGCAGTGCGCAAATCACTGGCCCTTCGTTTCGTTTGACGCAGTTGAATTCTTTCTCATAATCATCACGGCAAATGTTTTTACTTTTCCTCATTTTCTCTCCTATGAAGTTCCAGATCTAAACTAAATTCAAAGTTTAATTTACCGGTATATTCATTCATAAGGTTAAAAATAAGGACACACGTCAAAATAAAGACGTTTCAGAAAAAAGAAAAAAATATTTCCCAAGACAAAGACCTCCGAAATAAGGACAAATTCGAAAAATAAGGACGTTATGGCAGCCCTGATTATAGGTCAAGTGGAGAAAAAAACTTCTGTTACAATAAAAAAAAGCTACAATACTTGAAATGTAGTGAGACGAAAAACTGTGCTATACTAGGCGTTTTTTTTTCATATATAAAGTGCAAAGTATTCTCTTTCGTCACCACTTTACCTACATCTGACTGACATTTTTTGCAATGCATCGCATTTTCGATGCCTTGCTTTTTTTCGACAACGAAGTTGTCACATCCTCTTCGTCATTTGCAGGACAGACTGTGTCTTCATTTTCACAATCATTTTTTTTTTATCAAATTCTCCACGTCCTTATATTTTGCAAATATTTGGATCAGTCATCAATGAACAGGGCGAGTTTGCCAGCTGTGATGCAGACGTCGTCGTCGTTAAGCACTTTGTCAGAACCTAACCGACCGTGACGCCCGCCACTTGGAGGTGCAACATCGCCTTTGTTTGTTTATTATACGGCGAGCGGAGTTGGACATCTAGTAGTAATATATATTTACGCTTCTCTTTCTATTGTTCGCATTAAGTGTATTTTCTTTATGGTGATAAAAGAAATACTGATTACTGATTCAGAATATCATATATTGTATTAATAAATCATACCCCCACGATTGGGCAATGCCATTAGGAAATTTTATTAGAGAATGGGGTTGTCCCAAATATGTTTTTGGCCTGAACACTACGCGTTTTGATTGTAATCTCTCTAATTATGATCTCTGTTAAATCTGTATGAGCTTTGAAATGAGAATGGGCGTCCTAACTTTAAAATGACCTGATTAAATTTTAACATGTTGTTAATGACAGCCCGAGGGCGATTCCGTTTTTGGGAAATATTTGTAAATCGGTTAATAAAATTACTCTAGCAGAAAATTTAGTTTTACCTAGTAAGTTCATATATATATAATAGTGCCATGATCCGCATGACACTACCAAATCATCTCAAAATCAAAATACGATTTTAATGCGTGAAAAATAACGCTCAGCTACAGAAATATTTAAATAAGTAATAATCGACACGTTTCGAAAATATCACAAAGTATTAATTACATAATTAAAAACATATACCGGGCTGTTCACTTCCTTGGTAAACCGTCACTTCCTATATCGCCCCAAGCGAATTAATTACTTTGACGGTGGCCTAAGCAATTCAAAATATTCCACAAGTTGTGAGCTGAAGCCTGAGCAGGGTGACGTTGAAGCCTTACCACGTAAAATTGGGAGTCATGAAGAATTTGAAAGTACTGTTTTTTTTGTGGTAACATTAGTGCATATAACCACACTTTCGGCAGGTGAGTGATTTGATTTTATCAAATTGTATTGATTTTTCCTACTTATTCCACACGATTTTTAGACATATTTATTATAGAATATTGTTCCAATTCAGTTTTTACCAGGTTTCCTTCTCAATTATTTGCTATAGTATCATTATAGCTAAATTCAAAATGTAGCCTACCCAAGGCGTTTCATCATCATGTGTTGCTTCACACAAACACGATTTAAACAAGCATAAAATATAATTTTAAGTAGTGTATGACCTATGAACTGATATTGAAATGGTCTTTTCAATATTGCTTTATCTAGGACCAGTGCGCTGTCAAGACGCAACATGGACACTTTTTGGAGGGAGTTGTTACAAAGCGTTTGGTTCTTCTGTTGGTTTGGGAAAGTAAGTCAATCTACACAAATGTTTAGAGAAGTGGTATTTGAAAATATAGTAAATGTAAACATTGTTGGAAACATTTTTTTTATTTTAAAAAGTGGAGTAATTGCAAAGTATTCAGAAATTAAGATTGATTTGTATGAATGCTTCATTAAATTCGGTATCAACCTTTTTACGTACATTACAACAAAGCCGCAATGCTCGATACAGTGTTGTAAATTATGACGTAGGTTTAATAAAAATGTAAGATTCGTTTTCTGTCACTTTACTAATCAAATGAAAAATTCAGTCAAACCCTGTGATGATTTTACTTTTTTCAGAAAATATTCATCTATCTATATATTTCTATCACTACCAATATGTATATTGGTTATTAAACATGTAAGTTTTGGAATTTGTTACAACGTTGGTCAACACGTCTACTTCGCTTACTATCCATGCGTTTGTAGTTTTCACGGTCGTAACAATCTTGGGGTAGTTATGTTTTAAGTAGGTTACCGTTTTAGGGCTACAATGGCTTCACTAGTTTAATCGACCACCTAAAATGGTTCGAAGTTTTACAAATATGTTTTTCCAAGCGCTTGTTTGAAGTAGGCCTACTATATGAATATTTCCAAATAATATCATTGCTAAAAGCAAGATCATTATTTCTAATTAAATATGAATATTCGCTGTTTCCTTTGAAGTCATTTTTCCTGTTAGAATCATAGCACAAGTGCATTAGACTAGCGTACATCGTAAATGAATATTGGATATGTATTTTATACGTATGCATTTAACCTATTGAGCATGTTCGTTCTTTGGTTTATCATATTAATTTAATCACATGGTGCAATTTTAAATTTAAAACTAAAAAGTCAGTGATAGTATTAGATTACAATAATTGTTCATTCTCGACGAGGAAAATTAGGTTAAATTCGCCGATTGTTTTCTTCAGCATGACGTGGGTATTTAGGAGGTGAACATCGCTATCATGAATTATTTCGGCGAATTATACCTCTCTTGCGTGTATTCCACTGGACGTGTGCCACGAGGACGTCGAAAAATGTTTTACCCCAGAACTGTGCGTAAAGTCTAAAAAACTTCTTATTATGATCTGAGGCTAGACGCTACATACAAACTAAGGATTAAATCGCCAAATCACGTTTTTGACTGAAAATGAGAAAGTGAATGTTGTAAGTACAAAACGATGTCTTAATATATATAGATATGAAATCTAAAGGACAAACATCATAGATTTTATTAAAGGTCCCTCGACAGATTAAAAAATCCATTTCAGACGAGGTAAGTCGCAAAAATTTCGGAATTTTCAATCGGAAACTATAGCATAGTCCAGCGGTTCCCATACATTCTATTCTGTTCGCCCGGCTCCAGATTGCCAAATTATTTCAGAGTTGTAATGTCTTTACTTCATCGCAATAAATTGTAGACATATGATTTTATGGCCGACCTTGGGATTTTGCAAACAGTGATATATTAAAAACAAGCTTAAGCGGCTCAAATTAAACAAATTACCAAGATCACAAAAATTCAAATCAATTCTTAATATAATCAGGCTATATGCCGCGTATTTTTTGAAAATAATTAAATTAATATGGCAAGACAATTTTAATGCTCGTATCGGCCATGTACTAAATATTATGCGAACCAAAAAAAGAGTTATTGGCGAAAAAATCGGTAATTTTAACTAGTGGCGTAATCACGACGACTGTTTCCATCGGAATTTCCGTTCCTGATTTCAAATACAAAATAAAAAATTACTGAGAGTATAGATTGGTGCAAGTCATCTTGCATTTTTGACGAAGTAGAACTCTTGATTCTTCCATTTCTAACGTCATATTTGGTAGAAATGAAATCCAATCAAAGATTGATGATGATTTGAAATTGTACCTGACTAAAATGTTATCAACATTTGAAAAAAGCTTGTTAAAATTCGTCCATCTAATTGAAAACACTATGCACCATGGACCAGTCTATTTGTTCAATTGTTGTGCAATACATTTGTTGGTAACTTCATGTTTTGTTCTAGTTTTGAGGGGCGATGATAACGTAAAACGTACAGTAGGGGAGCAACGGTACAAAACAGTTTGAGAACCACTGTAGTACATCGATTATAGTACTTAAATTAAAACATTCTGTCTGTACTCATGTCACTTGCTAATCCTTCAATGTTAATTACAATATCTTCTGCTGCAAATTCCTACTGCTTTCTATCACTGAAACGCGATGAGTGTCTGATAGACTTGCGTTCGGTGAGGCGCAAGACTTAGCAAACCAATCACTTGCCACTACTAAATCCGAAATTACAGTAATTTCATTCGTAAACCACAGGGATGCGCATCATTTACTCTCTTTGAATGACCTATTTATCAAATAACATATAATGACCTCAATTGTTACATTGTGCTGTCTTTAATATCAAACGTTAGCCAAGTTGTTGAGCTTCTTTTTCTATCAACTTTCTATCTGCAACTGCCGTTATTTCCCAGCCCCTGTAATGAAGTCCCATTAATCGTCGTGTCTAGGTATTTGCAAATAAACAGTTTTTGATCATATTGATTTTGATTCTCCGGCCCAGTAACCATGTCTATTGTCCGCATATAATTGCCCACCCCTGCTAGGCATAATGCAGTTTTGAATGATGTAGATTGAAGACTAACCGTTAGTACAGTAAATGACAACCCAGATGAGAGCTGTTCTGAATATTCGAATGACGTGGCGTTTAGATTTTGTCAGATTATTTTTTAGATAACAAATTGATCATGGATGAACCCAAGGCGATCAAAACTGAAAAAAAGGGTATATATATTTGCTTAAGCATTTATTTTATTTTATTTTTCAGTAATCGTAATTACGATGATGCTGGTGCTCACTGTGAAAGTCTAAATGGATACCTTGTCAGCATTGAGTCAAAAGATGAAGAGTCAATCGTTAACTCATTATTTACAACCTCCATTTATTTTTGGATTGGATTATTTTCAACTGAATCAGGTAAAATTCTATATATTTAACCAAATATTCCTAATTTTAAGATATGTAAAATAGAAAAATATATCCAACTGAAAAATAGCGCATAGTCTACTCAAATAATATTACTAACATCCGGAGTTGTGTCACCAAACAAAAAACAAAACCAAGTGTTTTACAACAAAAAATTATACTACTGAACCGATTTTTAATTTCTTTATTATTTTTCAAAACAATAGAGAGTTAGTACTAAACATTGATTGATTCAAACCTTTTAGGCATCACTAACATTGATTTTTTTTAAATAAATGAGTTTTTACCAATACAACTGCGTCCTATTGTCCATAGGTTTTTCAGAAATTTTGCAAACCTGTCCATTTCTATGCCCTCATTGATCTGGTATAGCGATTTTTTAAGCTTTAGACGTTGTCGATGGAGTTTGATGCTTCCAGTTAATTCTTTCTGTTGATTTTTCATCGGCATTTGGTGCTGCTTTGGTTTCTTTCACAATCCCGGCCATTTTGGTATTTTCCTAGCAAAAACTTCGATTTGAACAATGCGCATAATCTCGTGATAACAAAAATAGTACTTAAATCTTTTTACGACTAAACAATAATCTAAGTCAACCATCAGTTCAGACAAAAACAAACGGCTGGCAATGGGCCGATGGATCAGTTTTTTCTTACTCAGTAGCATGGGAGTTGGATGAACCCGACAACAACGCGCAGAAATGTGTGAACATTTACTCGCAAACAAACGTATGGAAAGATTGGTGGTGTACCACAACTAACTCATTTGTTTGTGAAGTACTTGCTGAACGTAAGACTAATAATCTTTTAAAAATGATATATAATTTTATTGTAAATTATCGTGTAGGTCATTCTCTTTTATCTAAAATAAAAATATATATAAGTGACAAGTAACCGCTGCAACTACTGCTGGGGTGGATGACAATAATGGTAATGGTAAGTAAAAACCCAAATTAAAACATTAGATACCGATTGATACTATATATCAGCGTGTATATATCAGTGATACTAAACTCTAGTATTTATACAAGATCGCACACTAAAAAAAACATCATCTTAAATCCCGGATAAAATCCTTCAAGAGAAGTCATACACGATAACGTGTATTTCTGTAGACTGAAATAGTAAAAGTTCATTCCTTCCACTCTGCCTGAATGAGATAAATATTTATTGCAGCTGTCACTTGTCCAATATTAAAGTTTGATGATCCCAATGGTCTGATAACCGGATGTGAAAACATAGGAGAAGATGTGCCCGCAACAGTATGTCGGTATGTATATGCTAAATGGTGCTCTTCTACTAAAGTATATGTTCTTTATCAAGTTTTCAATAACGGAATTATTGTAAATAGAAAAAAATATATATATATATATGCTTCAACTATATACGTTACAAAATACAGGCAAACTTTCGAAACAAAAGATATTGTATCGATTTTTTTCTTCAACAACTTATAATTTCTAGCATTTATTTACATAAATGACATTGTTGTCCGACACCATCAACAACGTGTGGTGATAAATTTTCTAGATATAAAAATTCTAACGAAACTGAACAAGTCAAGGTTAGAAAAATCATGTGAATATTTTAAAGTTTAAACATAAAGATTAAATCTATTATTTGATAAATGGATTATTTTGATTGGGTAATGTGCATTTCATGTTATGATGGACTTTATTGCATTTCTCCAATTATTTTTTAAAAGATTTGGCTGATTCAATTCAAAATAGTCGATGAATTCACGATTTCTATCCAGTATGTTAAATTTGAATAATTAATAATATACTGTTACGTACGAAATACATTTAAATATTAAAAATAAAGTATATAATTTTCTTATTTACACATTTTTTGAGCCCCCTCTCCCTGATTTTTACACTATTCAAACCCACACTGACATGCAAGATTGAAACATGAAATATGATTCAATTATCCGTGAGATGAGTGGCTTTTTCCCGATCGAGTGATAGAAAATGAATCTGAATTTTGAACAAAATGAATTCCCATTTTTGCAGCTATGCGTGTAATCCAGGATATGATTTGGAAGGTTTTGAAACGCGAACTTGTCAATTTGATGGGCTATGGTCCGGCACCGATGATCACTCGTGCAAAGGTATGATATATTTCTATAATTGAACGATATAAAGATACTATTCAGCGCATAGTGAACAGACCTATATAAAATCAAAATATTAACGTAATTAATAAATTGCGAAAATGCATAATCTCATACTATATCAAGTCGATGTTCCCACTATGTTTTCCAGTCAGTAACGCAAAATCTACCATTCAATGAAATTTAATATTTGTTTTTATCAAAATTGGACTTGTACAAAAATATCTTGATGCCATTGGTTTCTTGAGAATGCTCGTCTTCTCCCACCCATGGTAATATCATCAGGCATCAAACTTAATATACAATTTATATTTGCACCAGTTACTCTTATCGCGCTGTTGTTTGATGAACCAGCCTGTTTTAAAACAAGGGCTTGTTTTAATTCAACTTTTTTCTGTATCTTTTGTATTATTATTGAAATACTCCTTGCATCGCCGTAAAACTACGCAAAAAGCTGATTTGAAACAAATTCTTATGAAAAAATTCTTGCAGTATTATATACTTCATAACTAGTCTTCTAAACTAGAGCAATAAAATTTACCATCAGATTATACAGAAAAATAAGAATGTGAACGTATCTTGACTTTTGCTATGAGATCTACTAGCCTATGCGACAATGTTTTTGTCGCAATACGTGTACTAAGTACTTATGTAATGTGTTTTACCTTTCATTGTATCAGGTGGAGTTTCGCTATAGAGACACCATATTTAATTTGCCCTTCTACCAGTCATTCAATAAATACGATATCGATCACCGCCTTTGACAAACGACCTGGCCGCCAGCGTTCGACACGGGATAGTCTAAATAAAACTTAAAATCTGGACGCATGGGAATCTTGTTGATCGCGATTTCAACATGCGGTGGTTTGGCGCTAGCATTGCGCTGCAGCTTGGGCGGGCGTGTTATTGCTACCTGTCGGATTTCGAACTGTTTCTTGACAATAATAATCGATTAGGCAAGTTTTCGCATCATTTCACTCGTTTTATCCTATTTAATACAAAAGAAACAAATTTTAAACATAACGTGTGAAAAAACTAAATTTCAGAAAACTGTTTTAAAACAAAACTTCAAGTCAGTCGTACAAAATCTACTGTTTTATAAAATATATCTGGTAGCATCAAATATCCCATTGGCAATGCGCAGAATATGCTAACGTTATAGGTTTTATGATAATGCTCGAATTTCCCCAAACATGATAATATGTGATCAGGCATTAAACTCGATACACGATTGATTTTGCAGCTATTACTTGTACCGCGCTGATCTTTAATGACCCCAAGGGTCGAATCACTGGTTGTAATAATGAAATCGACGCACCAGTTGGCACAGTATGCAGGTATGCATAAACATTATTTTTATACTGATTCGTTTTGTGGCGTTTGTTAGGCTTACAGACTTACCCTTGATATTTGCAATACCAAAACTATTTTGTTTCTTTTTGTAATAATGTTCGTTGAATGAAAAATAAATTTCAAAATTTTTGAACATTATTATTCATTTAGCGTATAACATGACTTGTGCATCATATTGTAAATTAAAATTTGAGACCATTGTAGTAACTATAATACGAAAATTACTGCTCAGACACAATTTCGGAATGCTTATGAGGTGCCTGGAGTAGCGTTTATGATTCCTTAGCAGCATGTTTGTGTTTATGTAAAATTTCATGCAAGTTCTGATAGAAAAAATACATATAAAATCATTTTTTGTGATTCAACAATATCTTATAACAAATGGATTTATTTTCGAGTTACGAATGTAATTCGGGATATACACTAGAGGGCCAACCATCAAGAAGTTGCGAAGAGCCTGGTGAATGGTCCGGACAAGGCGGACACTTTTGCAAAGGTGTGATATATACCGTATATAATACAAAGTCAAAGTTCTGTTAATAGCAAGCAAATATTGTTTAAGCGCCATACCAGAGACACCATTTACAGCGCTGTGATTAATTTATTAAATTGGCATCTCATCTAGAGGCCCAACTTGAAAACTGGTAGTAAAAACTTACTGATAATTATATTTTAATTCAGTCAAAGAGTTAACACTTCGTCTCTGAAGTAAACGTTTCAAATATTTTTGAAACTTAAAGCTTATTCATTTTCATAAAATCTTGAGAATTCAATTGAAAATACTAAATGTTTGTACTCAATTGTTTATTTTATAGTAATCCTTAAGCTTGGTTCATAATTTTGAATTAGTTTTTTTTTTTATTTCAGCCATCACTTGTCCTGACCTTGTTTTCGAAGGAACCATTGGATGCAGCCCAGAAGATAGCACTGACTTTGAAACAATTTGCTTGTAAGTTTACCTTCTATGAGTTTTTATTAAAAAATTGAAAGTGTCAATGATAAATGCGTCACATTGTTTTTGTTTATATTTCAATAGTTCAATTAAAACCACGTGATATGCTCGCGAAAATCCCAACAACAATAATCACTCTAACAAATGCAACATCAAAAATTTAACAAAACAATTCATGACTACTATAGTCTATATTCAAGATATTTAAAACATTTCTCTGGTTGTATATGAATGGACAGCACAGGCTACAATGATATAATTGCCAATTACGGATAATTTTGGTCATTTTTTGTTACGACAGCAAAACAAATTGCCTTGCCTTGGTAGAAATTCGCAATTTTGGAAAAACGAACCCATTGAAAAAAGCAGCTGAAATAAACAATTTTGTTGGTACCAATTGAAGTTTACACGAGACGGTAATTAAAACTTGAGATTTACAAACAATTTTCTAACCTCATTGAATTCTTACAATCATAAATTTAGTTGTTAAAGTAAAAGGCAACTTTTATTTCTAGTTTCATCTGTCCTTTGGGTAAACAAAAAATATCGGGTGATATTGTAAGAGTTTGTCAAGAAGATGAGCAATGGAGTGGAATTATGCCAGTTTGCGGAGGTGAGGGAGTCGAAGTTTGACGGGATTATAGTATTCACATTAAATAAAAACATTTCCAAAACAGTGCTGTTAAAGTTCATGATATCATTATATTAAAACTTTATTCGGTCATTCTATATATTAAACATTTTTAGTGGCTTTTCTGATCAAAACAATCATGGATGAGTAAATATGCAAATTGTTGCAGCTTTCAATTTTTAACCCTCCGCACTATTCACAATATCTATGCTATTTATTCAGCTGTAATGTGCCAGCCGCTAACTTTTCCTGCTGGATCTGTTGCTCGCGATCCACCGAACACAATTGATTACGGAACTGAATGCAGGTAACCGGATAATATTTTATTCTGTAAATGCCGTCGACAGGGATGTGTATTAAATCTAAACTAAATCATTCTCGCCGCTCGCTTCATATATATATGTTCGATTATACAATAGTTTTAGTTTCCAGATGTGAGAGTACGCAATACCATTTCAATTTCCGTTTAATGAAAGACTCCTGAATGTAATTATAATACTTGTCTAATATTTTCACTTGAATTTTAATTTATTTAAAAAGGAAGATTTTTAATAGTATTTCAATTTCTTTATTTCAATATAGTTTTGAGTGCGAACCCGGTTACGAGCCTGACGTGCCAGGGTTGACAATGACTTGTGAAGCGGATCAAAATTGGTCTGGAAATATGCCAACGTCATGTCAACGTAAGAAATCACTTTTATAAACCTATTTAAATCGAATATGTCGCACATATCGTTTACGAAACTGCGATGTAAACTGCGTTCATATCTCCATTTCAGCTGTTAACTGCGGAAATTATCCGGATATTATAAACGGGGAATCTAAATGTGAGGATACAACATATCAGAAAACCTGCTCGTAAGTCGTACTAATTGTTCACCTTATCATTTCACAATGTTACGAAAAATACCTATTCAGTCACTTCAGCAAGAACAGCAATAAGTATTTCTTGATTATAGTCTTCGTTTTATCTTAAGATTATATATTTCATTGTACACTCCAGATATTTTCACCAGTTTTGTCAAATATTCTCCCTGAGAAGCAATAAGTTTTTTCATGTTCACATCAAGTTAGTCTCAGATAGACAACAGAATTCAAAATGCGTTTTGCCCGACGGGCATAAACGTCAATGACGATATCTGGTAATAAAAAACTTAGATATTCCGATATATCAACATCCGCCCAATTCTGTCATTTTTTAACGTGTAAAAATAATCCATCTGTAGTATTCATACAAATTAAAATATGCAAGATTTTTGTTTAACAAGTCAATACTCCGTCGACAACTAATAAAACGACGTGCTATAAATGACGTTTACCAAGTTTATCAAGTGCACCACACGCACCCTATATTACCAGCACTTGATACACTCATAATTTAAGATTTGTATCATAATAAACTAACCGATACGAGCTAGGGCCAACCAATTACATGTTGCAACAGTTATACAAGTTCTGCGAGTGATGAATGCAATTTCAACAGAACATGTTCAGCTGGTAAAACAAATGTTGCACGTAACACTGAAAAATAGCGGTGGTAATTTCAGAGCACTGGTTCTGGAACTAATGCAGGTTTCCCCAACCCCTGAAATTCTCCCTATACTTTACCAGTGCAAAATTTTGGATGCTCATTTTGAGTGTGTTTCGGATCGTTGACACTTATTAACTGATTTACATGCTCAAAACCATTGTTTTCATTGAAACATACAACCCCGTGACGTTTATATGCAGTAATATCTAATTTTAGGTTATCCTATCGCAGCTTTTCCGGGACTCATTTTTGATTATTGTAACTAAACTGAAGCTCATATGAAAAATAACATGCAGAACCGCGAAAATAGGGCAATGCTAACAGCAATGCTTGATTATCTGTCTGAGAAATCGATAGGGATGGGACGAATCCGAGTAATAAGTCAAAGACTCGAATCAAATCCTCCGAGTGCGTGACGTCACAATGTAAAAGCAGAAAAACACGTTTTTGATCATGCTACAGCAATGTACGCTCCCAAACATACGCTGTAGCTCATATTTTTTGCCTAATGGTTCCGCAGATAACTGTTGAATCATTTTGAAAATATATTTTTTCTCTTTTTTGGCGGCCATAATGCAAACGTAAACGTGGGTAAATGTGCGCCTTGGCTACGAACTGGATTTCCAGCCCACCACCTTGCGTCAATTTTTGTCTGCTATACAGAAACTCTTACATGTCAATATGAAAAATAAAAAGCTTCTTACCACAATGCTTCCCCATAATTCCAGATATTTCTAGCCGTAAATTTACTATCTCACGTGCGTAAATGGTAGAAAAATGCCACTCGTCGTCAATACAATGTGGTACATATGCTTGCAATTTTGTATTTCATGTAAACGTTCTAGAACTCTTCATGCCATTGCTCCCTTTTTAGAGAAAGGATTGCACGTAATAAACTCGTTTTAAAAGAGGTGTTGATGAAATACCCCATTGGTTTGATCAAGAGCATGTTCATCATTTCTACGCAAATCAAAAACTTGGGCTAACCCATATTTTATTATGTACCACATGTATACCCAAAATGATAGATAGGTTGAAGGCGACTGGCGCGACATCATTTTTAAAAGCGATCAATAGTTTTTAACTTGCGTTATATTATCTGGATATCTGTGGTCGTTTTTATTAGGAGTGTTTATAATACACACGAGGGATATTTTTACAGATATAACCTTGAATTTTAACTAGTTAAGGTATGTAGTGAGATTTATAGAGGCAAAAGTAGAAATATAAGCGTAAATTAGTAAAAACGGAATTGATTATATTCTCGATAAAAAATGACGTGGACTCGAAATCGAATCCGAGTCCAAAATATGCCTGGATTCGACTCCAATCTGAGTCCAGATTCGAATCCCGGCACATCCCTAGAAATCGAAGTGTCTGAACTGAGTTGCTGCAAAATAGAGATGTTACGTCATCATAGACTTTTTGCTGATTGGTGATATTCACGAATAGAAACAAGGAAATCGACGCTCGGGAAAGCATCCATGTACATTCGTTCATTTCACTCACATGACGGTGTATTTGAAGACAAACTATGTTAAATCTTGTTTTAAAAAAGGTAATAAGGCACGTTGCAAACGCTGGAAATTATTTATTCAATGAATCATACGCTTTCAGGGTCGAGTGCAGACCAGGTTTCAGAGAAAAGAATTCTCAATCACAGTGCATGGCCGATGGACAATGGAGTGATCCACCTCTCGAGTGTGAAAGTAAGTAGAGTAATAATATTACCAAGTATGAAACAATTTAATTATCTCGTCAAGAAAATCAGCCGAAAATATTTCTGTATTTCAGGAATAGTTTGTCTTGAACTTGATTTCAGCAACCAGCCTGGACTAATGGCTTGCAATCCTTCTGGTTTCAGTTACCCAAGTACTTGCAGGTATTTTCTCAAGGTTTTGTATACTAGGATAAAGGAAGAAAACTCTGGTGCTAGTATGGCGATAGTAAAATACAATTTGACAATCAAAAATGTCATCGACACTTTTTATAGATCTGTTATGGTTATAGCCCAAAAATATCCATCATCACGTTAATGCATCTGAAAACAAAATAACTGCCTAACCAACCCCATACCCGACATGAACTGGTTATTGGACGAGAGGCAGGGGTTCACCATATGACTAAGCCGCCTTGACGGCTTTCCTGCTCCCCGGGATAAATAAGTGAATCCTATTATTCAACGTTGCACAACTGTGTCTTAGGCCAATAAGATATTGGGCATGTATCCTGTTTTTGTTATTTTGTTCAATTATTATGCAGATCCTGTTGCATTTTTGAGGCAAATTAACATATATACATACATTTATAAATAGAACTCGAATTTGGAATTACGAGGTATTACCTAGAAATGTTAGATAAAATCTTGGAATAGCTAATCAGCCGAGTCAGGTTAAGTATTTTCGTTACAATGGATTGTGGCTTGTTTTAGCTTCAGGTGCAAGGATGGCTACGAACTGAAAGGATCAGAAACACTAACTTGCCAAGAAAATGGAATGTGGGATGATATTGAACCAACATGTTTAGGTAAAATGTTGCATGCTTTGTTAATGGGATTCCGTGGACATATTGGCGGGTTCTGTTGTTTAAAAATTTTCTTTCTGTCTATATATTGACTCTTTGTAATATAATATCTTTTGTTTAGATGTCTTTTGTCCGGAATTATCATTAGAAGGCGGGACTGTTGATTGTTCAGACGGATGGGAGTATTCCAGTGAATGCACGTCAGTTATCAACAAAATTCTAATTTTTGCTTACAGCATTCTACTTTTGCAATATCGTGATTTCTATACTTTATTATTCTTCATATGTTGACTATTTCAAATAAGCGTTAAAACGTTTACCTTTTTCCAAATAATATATTTATATATTTAGCTTCAAATGCAATTTCCCGTTGATACTTTACGGAGAAGATGAAATAACATGTCGAGCTAATGGACAATGGTCAGCTCTAGTTCCGAAATGCAAACGTAAGTTCTGCAAATCCAATTTAAATAAAAATTTAATAGGAAATGAGGGAAAATTACAAAAACGAAATTTTTTATTTACATTCTGTCGGATATATCTCATTCATTTGCAATTAAGAGACTCAATTGTCATCAACTTTCAATTGTGAATTTTAACTTGTTTAAAGACATGACTTGCTAAAACACTAAAGTTTTTTTGCTATCACATTAAGTTAACAAATATTATCTGCTTACAACAGATGTTATAGTTTCTAATTTACTTTCAATTAATGAACTGTAACATAATGTGGCATAATGCAAATATTTTTTTATGCATGTCTGTTAGCTGATATTGACATAATTCTTGATGTTTAGTTTTCGATCCAAGATGTGAAGATGCTCTAGAACCATCAACTTGCGTTGATAATTGTGAAACAAATTCAGATTGTAAAGAATCAGAACTTTGTTGTAAGAGTTCATGCGGACTGACATGTAAAAAAATTAAAGACGATACCAAAAAGCCATTTCTAAGTGAGTGAAAATTTTCTGCTGATTTAGAAAATGATTTTGTTTTGTTGTAGTTAATGCTAGTGAATAAATATTGCTGAACAGCAAATCAAAATCTACAACGGCATAACCATATTATGTTTGTCACAGGTATTAATTAAAATATTTTTTGTTTATATTTAAAAATTGTTTTAGACCTGAATAAAGCAGCAGTGCTTGCTCTCTTGCTTGCCAATGGAAACAGACGGCAGCGTCCCGCATCTCGGCCTGTATGTCCAAGATGTAACGTAAACGCTTGCAGCCACACCAGTTGTCCAACGTTTCTCAATGCAGTGTGCAGAACAAGCTGTAATGGATGTAGAGCATATTTCATTAATCCATCCAATCTCAAACATGATATTACAAGCCGATGTTAGTAAATATTTTCATATTTTCTCATATTAGGTTCCCATCAATTTGTTTTCAGCATTTGGAACTATATATATCGCGGTTCATATAGAATTGTAAAGTAATTTACAAACATATCGCATGTATTACCGAATTCATTACGCATTATTAAAAATTCCAGGATAATGGTGCAATGATCCATGAAATGAAACTTATTTGAATCTGACAATTTCCTTATGTTTTTGAATCTACTAAGGTACATGTCCACCGGGTAGTCAACCAAACCATTATTGTGGTGGATATATGTGCAACGGAGTTGGATGTGCGAACTTCCCACAAGCTCAGTGTCGTGTGTACGGTTGTGGTCAAACATGCTATTTACAGTTTTTCGATAGATTTGGACGACGACTGCCATGTAGAGAAAAAAGTTCGTTGAATGCAGTTGATATTCTGAGTATTTTTTAATCTTAGTTTTATATATATCTATTCCCCATCTAAATAGTAGAACCTTATTTTATTTACGAGCTGTCCCAGATATAAACTTGACAAATAATCCTATATTAGCCTGAGCTATTGTATTATAATTGTGTTCGTCGGAACATAAGATTTTATAGTTTTATTTTCGGAATGATCACAGTCAAACTCATTTGGCATTGCAAATTTAAGCCTCGGTTTTATGAATTTAATGACGACTTGACCAGAATATATCCGTAAATATATATATATATATATATATACATATTTAGTAAATTTATATAAATTTTTACGATTAATTCCATACGATGAAACGATGTTTTTTTTTAAAAACAGGCATCACTACAAATAAAATTTGCGAAAGATGTTTCTAATGTTTTAAAGTGGAATTTTAAAAATTTAGGATACACCTCAATTACTACTTTTTAAACATGTGCATAGTATTTATTAACACATAATACTGAGCATTTTTATTTTTTCTTTAGCAACTTGTCAGCCTGGAATAAACTCAATCGGCCTTTGTACTAGAGGATGCCTCGGTGCTTCTTGTCCTAAATATCCTGAAGCTCATTGTCGAGTTCTGTGTCCGGGATGTCCAGCACAATTCTACAATCAGATAACCAATCAACCTATTCTTGACTGCTTTTAAAGTTTATCTAACAATAGGGTTCTTATCTATTGACCATAGAGTCCCCAAATTCGGCGAGAAAAACATTAACTACTATTTTGTGATGACGTATGATCGCAGACTTCATATTGAATTTTAAGGTGGCTATATATCTGATCACTTCGTAGAACGTTTGTCAGAACTAATTGGCAAACTGCCCTTGTATTACAGTAAGTTTGCTTTGTCTGGGTAAAAAAGTAAAATGCCGAAACCCAAAATATTAGTTTTATCGATTGACATTAACCAAAATCCTCTTAAATTTAGTTTAATATACATATATATATTATTCAGCATTGGGAGTGTTATTCATCAAGAAACCAAGAAATATATATAAATTCTATCTCACGGTATAAACATATATATCTGTGTACCATCACTACCATCATATACCGTGTTTCCCCGAAAATAAGACCTACCCTGAAATGACAAGTAGTAGTCCAGTACAAACGAGTACCTTGAGTTTGGTTGACCTCTGGGCTTTATATTTCCGGGACTATACTGGTTCATGGCTTGACGCTTATTTACGACAGTGGCTTTCAGCCAGGATTTTAAGGAATCCTGGTTTTCTGGATTCCTAGGAAACTTCGACTGAATGTGGCCCTCGCCTATGAACAGGCGACATTGTTTTGGCTTGCTACAGTTCCGTGCAGTGTAAGCAGATTCTAAGCAATTCAGGTAGAATGACCTGTGCAATTCTGTTGGTAAGTATGTCTTGCACGGCGCTCCATCGATGTCGAGGAAGGATGGAGGCTTGGCCTGGTCGAAGTCGGTGATTCAAGCCGCGATGTAGGCTACTCATTGTACAGAAACGTTCCTCGGGGATACAGCTCGTTTATATTTCGTGTCTTACCGCATTTAGTCGAGTACAGCTTGGCGCTTTGTCTCATCAGACTCGCCTTTTAAACTAATACGCGTCGGAGGTAAGAATTGTGTGTTTACACTTCCTGCGAATAGGATTTCCCTGTTGTCCCACAGAAAGTCGTCTCTTTTGGACTTATTCGTATCGTTGGTGTCCAGTGTCAAAATTATAGGACCCAGAACTGAGGACGCGTCTCATATAGAGCAGTGAGTTCTTTCGCGTATGCTTCAGTGGTTGAAGAGTTCGAAAGTATATCTAAAATGGATGGTAAAGCGATATTTTCACTCACCTCTGAGGCCACAGAGCATGGTCGCTTACCTTGGATGTCATATTGCCCGACGACCGCAACAGGATAATCCACCCTGTTAGTTATGGTTAATTAGATGTATGTTACTAGTTAAATCCAGTGTATTGGTATATCGCATTATTCCAAGAAAGAAATCCAACAGTTGAATTTCTTTCAAACCCAATCAACCGGTACAAGATATTAACAAGATTATAATCCTAATTGATACAACCAAATATCTAATCGAATGGCGAATAACGAAAAAAACACGGCCGATCGCTGCAGCAGAAAACGGTTAAAACTGCTCACAAGAACAACATAATTCCAAGACACATTTTCAAATATGAAATCCATTTTAACAGTGATTTATGCTGCTAATTATGGTGCATGGCTATCTAAAATGATTAGGAATCAATTCTAGATTTGGGAAAGCCTCACGTGGCAGATAAGAGGTGTCACCAAAATGTCATGTTCCTCTTGTACCACGTGTTTTACTTGTTCCACGTGTCCGACTTGTTCCACTAGTACCACGTGGGACAAGTTGTTTGCTATCTGAATTGCTTCATAACATTGTAACTAACCTCATACATGAGGGATATATATTAGTGTGGTTAGTATATATTAGTAGTGTTTTTTGATAATTGTGAACTAAATGAGACCCGACTTACATTCGTAAAGATTTTTTTGGTCTTTAAATTCAAATGATATCTATCACTGAATTCGGATGTCAAGGCCATGCATCAAGTTTATCATCCGTGCGGTGGAAACTCTGTTCCTGGCGTTCGACGCGGAAGAACAGTTTTCCGCATTTCCAGATATTCCCAACACAGATCTGATCATTAAATAATTAGACAATTTTTATTCTTTCATATTTATATGTTTAAATTTAATCAGGAATTAGTCTGGAAGACAACAGAATTCAAAATTAAACCTCATTTCTAATAGTAGAACATTTTTTTGAAAAATTAAAACACTTGATAAATTACCTACTCTCAGAAAAAAATGAGCAATATTAACATGATCACAGAACAAAAATAATTATAGTACTACTTTACATTATACAAATTCATTAGTAGAGTACTAGTAAATGTTATCTATGTCTTTGAGTAAGCATAAGTGATTACTGCAATATCTGCAATATATATATTGCTGTGATCAAAACTGCAATATGATATCAGCGAATAAACCAGGTAGACGGACTTTGACTTACAATACCAATCATTCAACATCCAACAAAATGTTTACTCTGCCAAAAAGTTGAAATATTTTTTTGCGTGTGTACTTTGAGGTATACTTTTGAAAAAATAAATGTATGAAATAAATTTTTAAAATGATATAATTTGTTGAAATTACAAAATTTACCCCATCGTTATTGTTAAATTTTTCTCAACCTTCACATGTATGATTTTCTAACGAAAACTAATACACAAAGTCAAAATATTTCAAAACCAAAGCACATGGAACAGAAAATGTACATCAATAAGCTCTTAGCTAGATATTGAGAATCATATTAGTGCTATGATTTTCATTAGGTGAACACTGGTTGGATCCTAGGTAGCAAGCAAGTAATCATTTCCGATTGCTGATTGAGTTTTTTTTTTGTCAGAATAGTAGTTTACTACATTCTGCAACACTTGAAGTAATACTTTAACTTAACAACTGTAAATATGCAATTCATAAGGATGAAATATTCAGAATTAAAAATTGCATAACATAAAAGGATGCAGGATTTCCATAAAAGATTAAAGACCAAAAGAATGAGTAATACAAACAGGACAAGGAAATCACCAAGATTGGAGGCCATATTTGTGAAACCATCCCAATGCTTTTTCCTAGATGATACCTCATTACTCTAATATCCCATAAAATGCCACTGGATGGTTAAGACTGGAAAATCAATTTATCTGAATGCTTAAAACCAGATTTTTTGAAACAAGTATAAATAATACAGGTTGAACCTCTAAAAAACAGTACAATAACTATTGTGTAACGCATAATAATAATAACTAACTATAACTTTTGGGTGTCATACCAAATTTAACTGTTGAATGAATTTTCCTTATAGTTAAGACATGTGGGTTCTGTTTTGGGGTCACCCTGCACATTCCAAATGGGATCAAGTTGCAAAAAATGCGTACAAATCACAAATCAAAATTTCTAAGAAGAGGTTGGTGTCAAAGATGATGACACCACAAAAAGTTGACTTTATTAGCAATTCAGTAGAAGCTATGTTTTGATGTCCTTGTAAGATATTATTAGCACCAATGGATCATTATATGAAAAGTATATTAGATTCTGAATATACTATGTTCAAAACTCAAACAACAAAACGCTACTAAGTTTGCAACCTAGCTAGTGGCACACAAGCATTTCCAAAAAGTAATATCTTAATATCCAAGACGGCGAGAAAATAGTCACTTCAAGATTTTAAAAAGTTCAAGTATTTAGCGGTTTAAAATCGTTAGTAAAAATACGATAATTAACAAATGAAAATTTACTTTCAATCCCCGAGCACACAGACAGTAAAGACCTAGTCTGGTGGTTGGCATGCTAGCTAATATATTGGTATCACAGGTGGAAGCTCAAGTGCTATTCCAAGCTGGGAATATTCCATTTCTTATAGACAGGGCAAACATTCCAAAGTTATGTAGAACATTAAAAGTTGAATACTTCTATAATGCAACAAGACCAAGGGGGGGGGGGGGGGGGTAATTACAGCCAGTGGCTTGTGTCTGCTGAAACTATGGCTATATTCTTTAAGAATATAAATTTTCGCCGAAAATATCAATGAAAATAATATCATATTGACCCCGATTGTTACATTGTGCCTCTTATCATTATATAAACGTTAGCCTAGCAGTGGGACAAGCTCTCGTAAATGAACTGTTTTTCATATTGAGTTTTGAGCCACCGGCATAGTATCCAAATCTATTATCTGTAACTAGCCCACTCAAAAAAGTAATTGCCAATCCATGAACTAGGCAATAATTTAAAATAATAGAAAAAGTGATAATAAATATAAAATTTAGTGCACGAAATCAGTCAAAAATCTCAAGCTAATAACATATAGCATATACTTGATGACAATACTGTCCAATCCATCTGTGTTATGCTGATGACAGCACTTCCTATTCAAGAATATATCTGTTGAAATTATTTTTTAAAATACTTCATAATTCTTTGGATTAGAAAAAACATGCCAAATTAGCGTATGATTGAATTTGATTCAAAGACTTTTTGCAATGCTCTTCTAGTATATAAAATTGAAAAATTTCAAGAAAATACACAATAAAATTTGAAAACACTGGTTGTAAATCTGAAACTGAGACTACATTTGCGTGTGTGGAACAGTTGAAAATCCCATGAAGTTGTCTAGCATCATCCCAGCACTGTGAGCGCATGTGACATGTCAACTAGCACTTACAATATGGTCTCACAAAGCTTCATTGATGAAATCATAGTCTATCATGATATGGACTCCGTTTCATTTGTTTTATTGGCTTTCAGTCCCACGGAACGAAATTACAACAAAATTTAAAAAAAAAACTTAAACCAATATTGTTTTTCAAACTGTTAACTATCAACGAATTGTGCTTCTCAAAATTTGCAACATTCACAAAGATAAGACTGCTTTGTGTCAAAAGTCACGAACTGTCAAGTTTTTCAAAACGTATCATACATCATAATTTTAGTGCACTAGGGTTGGATAAAATATAATATTTGAAGCTGGTTAGTAAAAGTATCGTAAAATATTTTAACAATCAAATACTAACAGTGGACAACCATACCATAAAACAACACCAATGTTTTACCATATTAAAAGTTCAATTAAAAACAATAAGAATTGTTTTTATAAGAAAATGAATCTCAAAAACAATTTTTTCAACTTAAAAATCCTTTAAAATTCTGTTGAATTTGAGGTTCTGCTTTTCGTCACCAACCACTTGGTCCTGCACCTTCATTTCTTAGATCAGAGAATGCATGAATGTGAGATGTGTGATATTTTATACCATTAACGTGACTTTCACCATCCATAATTTTCACCTGTTTGTAAGTAATAAGTCAGAAACATATTAATAAACCGGTGACAGAACATATGCACTCACATACATTTGTACATGGAAATTGCACCAGCATACTATTGTACCCACTGACATTTACACCAACAGACTTTAGCACCCGCATACAGATTGCACAGATTTCTATATAGCAATATAAATTGACAAAACTAAGAATTTTTCAAAATTGAAAGTATTGAAAATAAATTTATTGAGAATATAATGATATCAATCAACTTACATAATGTCCTATTTCTTTCAATTTTTTTATAACTTCTGGATCATAACCAGTTTCATATTCTAACACATCTGGCACTAAATGGTCATGCAACCTTCTTTCTTGAATTGGAGCATCAAAGTCGTCAGTACCAAAGTATAGTAATCTAAAAAACAGGAATGGAAAATTAACTACATAAATAAAACAAAATTCATAATCACCACCAGGAATGATCAACTGGAACTATTATTTATACCCATTTCGACTGGTTACTAGATGTTTAGTTCATTCTTCATTGTATGTTTAATAATGGGAATTTTCAGGCTTTCCAACCTCTTCAAGGATACATATTAATATAATCAACTACCCACAAAGTTACCCAAATTTCCTTAGATTATAATAAAAAAAATGGCGAACCAAATTGACTGAGCGAGGAAACAATGAATCCACAATCATTCAAGTAGTGTGTGTAGTGGCCTAAGAGGTTAAGACAATAGACTTAATTATGAAGGCATCACTAAAGGCAGGTTCACATACTGAAATCTAATCCCAAGCCCACCATCTTACCAAGAGTGAAATAAATGGGGTAGGCACTACCGAACCGAAGGATTCCTGGTTCTTCCAAAGTATAGCAGCCCCTAACCTATCAGTGGCTGCTTCTACAGAGTCTTTTTCAGAGCGAAAGATGTATAAATACATTGTATAAAATGATAAATCAACTGTTAACAAGAATGAGACACCAAATTATGTAGCATGCATGCTTCAACAAAAAGGTATCAAGTTATTAAAATTAGGTAAATATATTCATACTTCTATATTAAATATTGGTATTAATTGATATATTAATATCAAAAGTACACAAAACTATCCAGCATTCTTCTGCTTTTCATACAATTGAATGAGAAGCTGCAAGATTGCAATTTTAAACAGAGAATGAGTTAGTTTTGTAGAAAAAAAATTGAAAAAAAAAATGACAATTACCAATTCACTTGCTAAGCATAAAATAGAGATGTTCGGACTTTGTTCAACAGCACAAATATATTCAATAAAATGTGCAAGTCGGCAATACAGTACAAATTTAAATATGTTGCTAACTTGCAATATACAAGGAATCATACATTATACCACCAGAAGGATTCACTATGTCACAGCAGTTTCCTAAATGTAGTAAATTGTTCAAGTTGCGAAACAATGGATATTCACTGACTATGATGCAACACCATAATTCTATATTTTGTGGCAGGAGATCTTGGCATTTCGAGGGTCACTCGTTAATTAAATGAGATATGAGTCCAATATGTGATTTCGCTTCAATGAGCAAATTATATTGAAAGATTTTTTAACTCGATAAAATTAAAAAAATTAAGTTTTAGAAATATTTTACATCAATTGAATTTCTTTGTTACACTATCCATTTGCTTTTTTCCTAATTTATTATACTTAAGCAGGAAGAAAACTACCGGTAATCGGTTTTCAGTTCATCAAACACAAATTTAAAAAGAGGAAAGCATTAAATAAAAACAGAATAGAAGAGGTTCCCAAACTTTTCCAACCCCCAATGCATTACCTTTCCTAGCATAGAAGTATTGGAAAAAAAACTTTTTTATTAGCATTTAATTACAATGCGAAAAAGTTTTATAATGTATGCATATTTAATAAATGCAATAATAAATGCTTACTTTCATGCAGATGAAAAAAATAGGGTTGAATATACAATATAGCCAGCCATGAAAATTTTTGCAGACTTAGTCATTTTAAGTAAAATTCATAACGCAGGCAGATAAGAAATATAGTTGGCACTTGGCGTATATAGTAGAGCATCGGTGTATGGTTGAGAACCATTGCTCATAGAAAGTAAGCTTTAGTTAATATATAATACTGATACTGACTTACCTTAGCATGACCTGAGCAACTGCAGTGGGTATCCGTATTCCACCTGCAGCACCGATAATAAACACAGGATCTTGATTTTTGTCATCAGAAATGATTACAGGAGTCATTGATGACAGAGGACGTTTACCTCCTTCAATTTGATTCGCTGGAGACAATTGAGAATCATGAGTAGGATCACCAGCTGAAAAGATGTTTTAGTGATTATAGATATGCAAACCATTATTATTAACCCCGCAACAAATAAATCTAGGCATTGGATTCCAAGCTGGTGGGTAAAGAGGTAATATAGCAATAAGGCTTCAAATTGAGAGATCAGAGAACTGAGACTGGGAATATGACATGCATTGAGTATTTCTTTCAACTCTTCAAGAATAAATGTCTCGCCCACATTGACAATGATCAGCAAAACTCTCACTTATAGTGACAGATTAATAAATACTAATCTTTATGAAGATTCTCTTCTGTATTCTCTGTTTCCGTACTTTATAGCTCTCATAAATGTGGAGTCCCTATACATAGGCTCTGATCAAAAAAAGGCAAAAAAAATTGGTTTCTAATGATAATCTGAAAACTTTAAAGAAAATAACAATGACATAAAAAATACACTTTTTGTTGTGCTTAATAGAATTAAAATACTTTTTCGATTATTTCAAATTGTATACAAAATTCTTTGCGGTATCAATTATAATATAATTACCAAGTTGATAAGGATTTTCATGAAAAAACAATATTATGATAGAATACAACTTACTCGGAAATGAAAAATCATCCATTTCATTATTAAAAACAATGCCTGTTGTTGGTGACATAATAAACGCTCCAAAATGATAGTTTATCGTCGACGTAATCGCAACAGCATTCTTTTCTGAATCCAGTACAGATAAATGACTCGTTGAAGATTTACCAGCGTTTAGAAAATTCGCTCCGTAATATTTAGGATCGTGGAATGTTTTATTGTCAAAAATTTTGCCTTTTACAGATTTGGCGAATTCACCGGACACGATTTCATCTACTATTTTCTGACTGCTTGGCACTTTACTTGGGTCACCCATGTTATAGCGAACGCCATATGTGTGTCGAAAAGCTTCATCAGTTCTGTGCCATTGTAGCGTCATATTCTGTTTGTAATGCTCTGGTGTGATACTAAACATATCCATAATAGAGAGTATTGCGCTGAACACTGGTCCTCCTAGCGGCAATGGAGGGGCATGAATTGTATATCCAGCATTTGGTAGCTTGACTTCTATCGCTGGTTCTTCAATAATTTCATATTTCTAAAGAATGAAAAAAAAGATGCACACAATGTCAATGACTTGAGTAGAGAAAAAGGGAAAAATGGTGATGAATGGTGAACCTATTTATTGGATGTGTCTTACATATTTTTTTCATAGAAAAAGGATGCGAGTCGCAGATATAACCAATCGATGAGAAAACTGTTGCATCCTTTATGAAGTCTTTTAATCCCGGGATGTTATTGAAAAAATAAAACAATGGCCCAATGTACAGATGGTGAACCTTTTTTATCGAATGTGTCGAACACATTTTTTACCATAGAAAAAGGATGCGAGTGGATGATGGGTATTGTATTATAACTACTATAGTAGTTCACTTGATGTTGAGGCCGGATTTACTACAAAATTTTTATCACTAAAATAATTCATTGCTTTGCAATATCAGCAAGACTTGCTTTGCTACAAACCTCCAAATCTTCCTTAGTCATGATTCCACCTAGTTTTTGAATATCTTCAACAATAGAATCAGAAATTTCACCATTGTAAAAAACATCTATACCATGTTGCTGAATTTTCGACAATGTAGTAGCAAGTAATGGGTTTTTCACAGTTTCTCCTTTTTTCTTCACCTAAAGTTTAAAAAAACGGGAGAATAATGTTAAATTTTTAGGTTTGAGGATGGAAAAAGAGTGTTAAAATGTAGATGACAGGCTGACAGCTCAGGTTTACGAATAAAGATTTTGCCTATTTTGTATCAAACACATTGATAGTCATTTCCGTTTGCAACCATTTACATTTATATGATATTATATTGTAACACAGCAAATTACTTTGATACTACCAGGGCTGCAAAATCTGGTAAAATTTGAACCCAACTCCATATCGAGACATTGAAAAGCCCCAACTTTAACCCTGATTGACAAAAACATTGATTTGGACCCTCAACTATAATTGAAAATTTTTTTGTTATTTGACTCCAGCTCCGGGAAAATTAAATTGATAACAGGAACTTTGGCACATGCAAAACTTCTTGAACTGTCTAGCTTACTAAGTAACTCTAGAAAATTTTTGCGTCAATTATAACCATTGAGAATCTGAATACGAATTTGAGAAATATTATCAAGACTCCAATATCAACCCAAACTCTATTTCCACGGCCTTGATTAATATTGCTAGTTGCTTCTATCAGTATCATAATATTACTTACCCCTGTCTTGTCATCATTGCAATAAAGATCACAAAAGACTGAATTTTTATCATGAATTATCACTTTTTCATAAAGTTCTTTTAGTTTCTGTTCCATAGAACCGCTAATTTCAAATCCATTCTTAGCTTTATCAATGGATGGTTGAAACAAGTCATTCCACGTAATTTTTCCACTTCCATATTTGTTATACGCATATCTAAAAGGATGAAATATATATGATTTTTGGGATGAGTGAAAATAATAGTGTCTGCATATTTTATTCGTTCGGAGTTTTAGTTAATATAAAAAAAACTAAAGTGGAATATTAGATGCAATAGCGTCTCAAACTTTTCTGCTGCCTGGAGCGAGTTTCTGATAATGCTGCCCCTTATACCTTACTTCAAAATCAATTTAGGGAATAAACAAATTATAGATGTTTTTGTACATTCAAATAAATAAATTACAGGTCAAATAAGAGTAAAATGTTTGTAATATTATTATTTAAATCAGCAAACTAAGCAACAAACTCCCCCCAATAACAAGATGCCCGGGCCGGCTGGCCCTTTGGCCCCCTCTAAACACGCCACTGATTGGATGGTCAAAATTGAATAATGAGGGTTTCAACTCAAAACATCAAACGTTGAAATTTAAAAAATTTTATTCAAAAAAATTACAAAGAAGATTCTTTTTCAGCTGACTAACTAATCAAAGTTTGAAGCGATATTTACTAAAGTATTCCAATGAAAAATTGAAAGTTAATAATGTATGTTTTTTTCATTTTCTCAGAACAGTGTTTCGGTCCTTTTGAGATACAAATGAAATCGTTCTTATTTTTTAATAAAATTGAATATTTGTAATGTTGAATAAAACAAACATTCCATTCATTCTATACATCTTCGACAATTTCTGTTATGATACGAAAAAAAAACTTGTTAAATTTAGCTAAAATAAAACCATTGATGACAGTGGGTGTAAGGCAAATTACAACATTATCACAAGGGAAGTAGGCTATTAATAATTATGGTGTAAAAGTGAAAAGCAAATTAGTGCATCTCATATTAGAGACAAATAGAATAAAAATGTCCTCACTCTAGTCCTTTAAGTTCACCAGGCACGGCAATGAATTTGGCACCTCTGGGTCTATTTCGGTCGCCGATGAACATTTCTGGTGTTGCAGCAGCAGGAGCTTTTTCTCTTGATATTATGCATGTAGTAGATTTTGTTGTGTAGTTATATATAGTCATTATAGCACCACCACCTGAGAGTAAAATGTTTAATAAAGAAATTAGTGGGTGTCCTGACTCCTGACATAGAAGTTGTTACTCAAGCCTGTATTAGAAATTACATTTTGACAAACTGCTTTCGCATAAAAACTGGACATAAGCGAATTTGATTGAAACAGTATACCATAAAAGACCACTTTTGAAATATGTGATATGAGCTAGAGATACTTAGGTTATACTGTGGCATTATGGACTTGTTGCTCGTAAAATTAACGATCAAGATTTGTATGTTTTGTGAAATTTTGAAGATTTATTTTCAATAATTTTTTCATTCTGTTCAAATATTCATTCAGATGCTACACTGAGATGAACACTCACCTATTCCAGAGTAATAAGGCTCAACAACTCCCTGACATAATGTTGTTGCAATTGCAGCATCAACTGCATTGCCACCCACTTTCATAATATCTCGGCCCACAATGGAACATTCCAATTGACCTGTACAAATAGTAAAAAATGTAACAGATTTGCCCAAATTTATCACTTTAGTCGGACGAAACGTTACAGAAATACATTTGTATTAGTATTAGTGTACAACAAGACTAAAACATTAACCACCTTGGCATAAATAGATAAAAGGTAGGAGTTCGTGAATCGTAAATAATCTCTTGTAAGCCTAACCAATAAATACCGTAATCAAATATTGACTTTAGATAACATGACGACCGCCTCACAAATAAAAAGTTTTTATCAAGTAAGAACGGTTTCATTTCAGAAAATTATGTTTGATTTATAATGAAACATCTAGTAATGACAGCAACCAGTGTTATGTACAAGTCCCTTAATAACCCAGAGTCGTAACTTGTAGAGTCAACCAAGTATCACGTCAAGTTTGGTTCAAGTCTCAAACCAAGTCGAGTTACATGGCTTCCGACGGAATTGAGTAGTTGTTAAAAAAACTTGGTACAGTCTTGGTACATTTCACAAACAGCATTGAAATAGAAAAATATGAGTCACATTATCACTATAACTTCCCTTTTCGTATTTGACATTCTCTTTAAAAACTTTTCTCAATACTAAATTATTGATTGATTGCAATCTTATTCACACCTGCAGCAACAGCAGCTTCATGGAATACATTGTGATGTTCTTCTTCCATACTTCCATCTGTGTGCTCATGGTGATGGTGGCTGTGAACTTGTGCCTTTGATAGAAAAAAAAAACAGTCTTTGAAATATTACATGGATAGAAATAGTACATTATTAAAAGAATTAACAGTTTAACCTGAATTCTAAAAAAAATCTGGTTGGAATGAGATAACAGACTATTCGAAACAAGATTAGAAGATAAAATAAAACAGACCTACCCCTATCCTTAACTGATTGTGTAGAAAAACAATGGGTGAAAGAGGGTCAAATGTAAGATAAATATGAAGCCAAACGAATTCGTTGAACTACATTTTCAAAATTTCCACAACACTTTTCTATACCTTGACATTTTTTTTGATTTAATGATCCTATATTATACAAATAATGATAATCATTTTAGTTGATACTATTAAAATTTCTTTGGGAATATAGTTGCTATAAACAAAAACAATCAAATATCATATCTGATATCCCAAAAACAAATCACGAAATAGACAGAAAAACCAAACTTATCCAATAAATTTTTAATAAACAACAATTCGATAAAATTTCTCGTTTATTAATAATAGACATACCAGAAGGGATAATATGACCAGAAGAAATGTCATAATAAGTGTTCCAACAGCTGCCATTAGTAGTAAATAATTACACCCATTACGGTATTTTTTATCTTTACGGTATTTTTTATCTTTTGATAAACCAGAGTAACCAAACCTTCGATATTGATATTTTTCAGAGCAAGACATGGTTTCGCCTTGCAGAAAGATTTGGTAAATCTAACACGATAAATAATGTACTTGAAACAAATTGCTGAAAATAATAAAAAATGAATGTAAGAATAAATGACATATGGTACATAGGATTCTAACTCAATCAATATCAATAAAACTACCTAAAAGTCTCCACATTCTTGCCATAAAGGGGTTTATGAAGTAATCAAATTAATTACAAAACTATCCACTCATTTCACTAATGAACAATCATTAGTGAATTGAATATGATAACCCACACATCACAGCTCTCAAATTTTTGAAACTGACAAAAACATCAGTACAATGATTACATCTAATATCTGAATATTACATGATTTCCCCATCATATCAATTTCAATGTCACACAACGAGTTTGTCAAAACAAAGCATGCTAACTAAACCTAAATGTCCTACATTCCAAACAAATTCAGAATATCATGTAGCAAAATTTTTGCAAATCATGTGATCCAAATTTGGCAAGGAACGTGAATTTATTGCATGACTGCAACTGCAATAACTAAAAATCTCTATCTCGTAATAATCACAAAATTCTGGCCAAAAATTCTAGACTATAAAACCTATTATTAATGACCTATATCAACGATTTTCATCAATGATTAAGACAAATTATGTTTTAGTATGAAAATCGCAACTTGGAATTCAAAGTTAAATCAGTCAAACGACAAATCTTACGTCGCAATGCAACTTTGCAATATTGTTATTAAACGTTTATGTAAAGTTCTTTCCAGTTCACGATATTCTAATAGGCCTAATATTAATTTCAAAAATCATGCGGCTCTCACTTATTTCTGACTTGTTGCATGAGGCTCTTATACTGAAAAATTTTGCTCACCCCTGAGGCCCTGACCTATATCCTTCCACCATCAGCCATGCTTTTTAAAATGGAGAAGAGAACAATCCATTATTTATATTTTATCAAAAGAATGATGACGTTGCATTTTTTAGAAGAAAGAAAAAAGTTTGATCTAAGATATTTTATTTGGGAACACTAGACGTGGCCTAAAAAGAGAGATCACACTTAGTCAACACTTAGTCATCCTTAACAAACTGATATCAACAGTCACATGACTTTAGAATGCAAGACTCACAACTAAGTGGACACTGTTTAAACCTAAACATTGATTCTGCTATACTCACATGATGTTAGAATTGTTGCCAAAAAAGTTTTGCATTATAAAATATCAATGAACTGAATTGAATAAAAATCATTTGAAATTTTGAAATATTTTTTATTCTACAAGTTATCAGAGTAGGCATTAGTTATTTGGAATAGCTCAAAATAATAAAAAAAATTGTAGATAGTAATAACTCAAATCTAAAATCGAAATTTTAGTTAGAATTTTTCGCAAATTCTGAAAAAAGTCCTTCATGCAAAATGTAGCATATAACTCTTCCATAAAGCGAAAAAGTTAATCAATAAATAGGCTACTAATCAGATAATCAAATTTTAAAAACAAAGCTTACACCAGTAACACAACAACTGGTAATTCAGCATTCTATAGATTTATAATTAAGCGTTTAAATTTTAAGAACTGTAGGACTCTATGTACCTTAAAACAATGTATGTGTCAACCAAGCATTATAACATTAACCGTCTTATTACATTGACTTTCATATTGAAAAGCAAAGTGTGAGCCGAAACAAACAAAGTAACATAGACTGTATCTGTACGCAGATGACTGATCCTCTCAAACATGATGGAATTATGAATAACAACTGCATCCATTGCATGAAACACAAAATATCATACAGCGACAAGTAGCTAAGTAGAACTATAGAACTTACTATAATAACTGTCTTATTATATAGACTTCCATATCGAAATACAAACTGTAAGCTGACAAAGTAACATAGACTGTATCTGTAAGTAGGTGATTGATCCTCTCAAACATTATTTAATTATGACAACTGCATCCTGCATCTATGGCATAAATAAAACATACAATTAGGCTACAACATGTAGAACTTACATGTTGAATATGCCCGAGGATTACAGATTTATATGCAACGAATACCAAAATGGCTTTACATATACCGGTACTTATTCCAGAAATGATACCAAAATGATTGAATGGTAATTGAAAACTTTCTCTATTTAATCACCATTTATACCTACTTACTGAGCTAAAAATAAGTCTGGTTCACTATGGAAAGCAATTTAAATATAAAGGGTGGGACTAATGTTCTGCATTAAATTTGGACAATAAGCACTTCAATGTGCTTCATGCAACTCATGGAGGGAATGTAAAAGTTCATAAATATTAATAACCAAGGTAAAAAGCTTTGAGAAACAATGATTGAAATAAAACAAACTTGGTTAATAAGATACCAGTATTGAAAATTGACTCCATAACAAAATTTTGATTACATCAGGATTTTATGAACACCCTGTTTGTTTCAGATTTAGTGCTAGCCTAAGACATATTCTAAATACTACCAGCCTGATATTCAATTTATATTTCAAGTAACAAATCTATAGCGCGAGTCCAAAATTTTCATCAACTGCTATATTCGAAAAATTTCATGGATTCCAATCACCATTCCCTTATATTATTAATGAAAGCGTGTAACGTACTAAATCGCTATTTCGATGCACATCAGGCATAGTTCTCATCCCGACTGCGCAAATATTTTTGTGAATCTAATGCAGCAAATAGGTGAATACGAAAGCAAAATTATTTGAAAATATCCCAGTTCACTAACCAAATATTATCCAAACTGAGCACAACGGGAAGTTGTAAATACACTAAGATAAATAATAAAACCATGCTGCTTGCAACAAGGCAATGACGCTTAGCCTTGGGGCATTCTCAATTAAAATCATTTAAATGACATCCTGAAACAATGCTAAAGCCAACTCTTATATTTTTCCTGTAATTAACTGCCAGTATGTAGTTACCTCCTGCAGTATTGGAATATGATTGACTAGTGAATAGTGATAATGATATAAATTTCTGAATCGAAGTTAAGAAATTGGCAGTTTTAGTCAAGTACTTTTGCAAGGAAATACATACCGGTAATTTTTTATTAATAATATTAGTTTTACCTTTTTATGTCTTGAAATACATTATGAAATTTGATACATATTTGGGCCATAAAAGTTATCTTTTGAAAACTTCATTTGAATGAATTTCAGTTTATATTGTCATTAAATCAAAAGTCACAAGATTTTTGTACCGGTAATTATCCCGAAGAGAAAGTCAATGAGAAATGAAGCAAAGACTACACAGTGGACCAGAGGCTTTATTCGGTTACCAGTTAGTCTGGTTATTAACTTATTATTAATAGTACATAATGCAAAGGTGTGGATGGTAGAAAGAGTTGTGTCTGACCAGCAGTTACATCTCGTGCATTAGTTAGTACCATACATTAATATCCTCCATTATCAAAAATATACAATAAATCAACAGTGCACTAGAGTGTTTCTAGATACTGGTATCCAAAATAAAGAAAATAAAAAAAACTCCCAACCTATAGAAAATCATAATAATTATTTAATAAAACTAAAACAAGCATGAGCCAAGGTATAATATAATGCAAGGTAAAGCAGTTTCCTAAGTTACACCCTCAATCAGGACTATAATCAGCATCCTGATATAAGCTTGAAACACCTTGAACAATTGCATTAATATATTTCCTCCCATAACATTACTGAATCATAAAAATGCAAACTTCTCTAAATAGAAGTTCTTAGAACCATAAAAAAAATCTAGCTTATTAAATTCAGTTGGGTATATTATGAGTATTCTCATAAATTTTTTCATGGATACTCTTTGACAACTTTCGATGGAAGCATACACAGTCCAAAAAAAATTCAGCCCTAATAGTAATAATCAGGTAGTAAGAATCCTAAACAGTTCATCAACTCAAGTGTTGGAAAAAACGAATTAAAAGTGTCAAGACTGCTGTCATTGTCTAGTCTGGTCTGGTCGATTTCTCATTCCGCCAAATAAGCAAAATCTTAGGGTCATAAATCACAATATGTCACTCAAATTAGTGACAGGCGGTTCCTTTTTGAAGTGCAGTTTCTGGAAACATTCTGGATGTCAGTTGCAAGAGAGAAACTGAAACCCCCTGGCCCCTGCCTGATATTTGTATTATGCATGAAGATTAAAAATTCTCAAGATGGGTGTGCTAAAAAGCACATTATCTACTGGCGCCTATTAGGAAAAATATGGCAATACCAATCTCAATATTTACAACTCAAATTGTATTGAAGCAAATCAATTTTTTATTCCAATTCCAAACGGATTGAAAGTGTCAGGACAGCGCAATCCGTTAATAACTGCTGTCATTATCAAGTCTGGATCATTTTCTCATTCCACCGAATTGACAAAATCTTAGGGTCATAAATCACAATATGTCACTCAAATTAGTGACAGGCGGTTGCTTTTTGAAGTGCAGTTTCTGGAAACATCCTCGGATGTCAGTCGCAAGAGAGAAACTGAAACCACCTAGCCGCAAATCAATTTTTTATTCCAATTCTGAACATTTTTGCACCCAGGGCTGATGAGATGGAGCCTGGAGCCGTAACATTTTGTTAAAGCTGAATACTCAAAAGAGTTTACTATATTGAACAAAGCTGGAGATGAAGCTTCTATAAATTTTAGAGCCTCCAACAAATAACCATATAATTATTTCTACACATTTTCTTTTTCTACCACCTCCGACCTCCTACAAATAATAAAATCTATAGTTTTTGATTAAATTTCTAATATTTACCGGTAATTAAAAGTTTCAAGTTAAATTTGCAAATTTCAAAGTTTGAAGTGTAATTTTAAAATTTGTAACACTTGTATCATAGCTTTGAGTCCCGCTTCCACAAAACTGCTTTTGAGCTGATATTTCATGGTAGTAGAAATGCCAAAAAAACACAATAGCTAAGCCGTGTTCAGAGATTTGAGAAAAAGGAATTTTGAAGCCAGAGCGACAGTTTAAATACATTGTGGGCTCCATAACCAGCTCGCCAATGCTATTAAGGTCCTTCCATGTAAGTTACAGGCATAGATCATTGCATCAAAACATGAAAGATAAGCATAATCTCCTGTGGCTATAGAATTTCCAATATCATAAAACACGGACCAAACATTTTATGTAGCATAAATTCACTTAACATACAGTATACCTGTTCTGGTAGATATCTGATAAGAAATCCAATAGCGATCAAGGACAGTATGAATAGAAAAAACAGATGTACAATGCATTGTGTTTGCCATTGTCGTCGTTGAGAAATAGCGGCTTTTCTAAAACTGGGTGAGCCATTGGAAATAAGCACTGTGGGTGGAGGCAGCTCCAACAAGCTCTGTTAAAAAAGAAAACAGATATTTTAAAATTAAAAGTAATTGAATTGTAGTCTAGTATAGATATTTTAGGCCTATCGAATTTAATGTCAAAACCAGTGAGTAATCATTTAAGATCTATTAAAAAAAACTTTGTATAACAATGAATGCAGCCATTCTTTTGTACAATACAGGATGATGAAAAACAAGATCCAGATCATTTGGAACCTATTTTAGCAGGAACAAAACTTTTGTGCAAAGCGCCCTAAATCAGTAAATTACTAAAACTTATCAGTACAATCATATAAAAACAGAATTTCAAGTGTTACAGTGTTGTATAATTTTTTTGCAATACCGTATCTATGATCTGTTTTTGGGTCACCAAAAATATCAGAAAATTACGGAGAAATATATTTTAAGATGTTAAAATTATCAGAACAGAAATAGAATTTAAACTGCTTCTAAATACCACCAAAAACATAAATATAACAATCTTACACTGCAGACAGTCTAACAGTACTAACCTGTTCATCTTCAGGTCCTTCATAATCTCTAATCTTCACATATTTGGCAACTGGCCCCATGCTCTGTTCTGCTTATATCAGTACGGCACCCGTATATCGGTATATATTCATAAATAATACTGATGATGCCTTGCATACAATAGCATAGGTCAAATGAAAAATATTATCACATAAGCCTACAAAAAGATACTTCTTACCAAACGGAACTGTATAAAGAAACAAGTAAAGAAATAATTTAACTGCCCTGACTATAGGAGTAAAGAGGCTAAATACTGAGATCCTAAATTAACTTTATTGCAGTATTGAGATATACGTACGGTAATATATATTGACAGTACAATCGAATCGAAGCCTATTTTCGACATTTTAATATTTTTTTTTATTAGTTCACTCAATGATTGATTTTAAATAAATATAAAAAGTCTATTTTCCATTTTGCATCTATAATCCAGTACAGCAGTAGTTATTTTTTTCAGTTCCAGCAGTAATACTGTAATAATTAATATCCATGCCATAATTAGTTTATTTCGATATATACATTGATATAAAACAATAAAAAAAAATAATTAGCAAACGCAAAATATATATCATAAACACATGCTTTACATAAATATCGCAATTCCAAGGGCTTGTTTATTTTATAATTCTCTACCGGTATATTTTTTCTCCATAATATGGCCATTTTTATTTGCTTTTCGAGTAGGGCAATATCTGGTGTTTTATTTTCGAATATCTGAATATAATAGTATTTCTCATCGTCCAAATTTTATATCTCACTATTGATAACAAAGTAATAATGTCATTCAAGTCAACAGTCTGACAATATCTATATGACTATCTGATTATATGATAGATCGTTGAAATAAAATAAAATTTCTTTCAATGGCAGGAGGCCGATATCCCAGAGTAATTTATAGTTGAAAGTTTTATATAATTTGCTAACATTCATTATGCAGTTATGAATGTTATGACAAGTTCAGAAGTTACCGTACAGAGTTATTAAGTTATACCGGTAGCCTATACTAAGATTTGAATTACCAATAATTATAAGTCGGGACGGACTAAAAGTAGGCACTTGCAAATTAGGCACTTTTTTAGGCACTTATTTAGGCACTTTGGTAAAAAAGTAAAAAGGGCGTAATACCTTTAAAAACATAATTAATTAGTTAAAAATGGTCAAATTAAATGTTGAAAACGCAAATTGCAACGGGCAAATTCAATAACAATATTTAAAACGTAGTATTAAAGGATGTCGCACGCGCTTGGTCACCACATATGCTAGGCACATATTTAGACACTCCGAAAAATAAAGAAAATGGCAATTATCACTAATAAAAGACAGAGACATAAACATATAACCCACACTGATTAGCCTGGGTAAATATCCAATAGATGCACTCGAGTCTAGTACTGGAATTTAGAAATAATAAATTGTTACCGGTAGGCACTTATTTAGGCACTTCGGAAAAAAGGTGAAATGAACGTAGTAACTCCTAAAAAGGTAATGAATTAGTTCAAAATATTTAAATTAAATGTTGAACGCGAAAATTGCAACAGTTAAATCCAATGGACCTTTCCCCGAGCATGGAATTCCTTGTTTACTTCGTGACATTGGCCAATCAGCAAGATGCAAAAAGTGACGTAACAATGCCCCCTTTTCGCATTCGCTCAGACACTTTTCTCACTCAGACAGATTTTCAAGCGTGATTGTAAACATTACCTCGTTTTTGCGTTTTTGAACTCTATTCGTTAGTTTTCAGTTGTGTTTTGGGAACTTAAATAAAAATCAGATAATTCAATGATCCCTCTGTCTTTCTAGGAGTTTTAATTTAATTGCAGTAATAAAAATTAGGCTGTGATAGACTAGCCTGAAATTCTTTACCGGTACTTTTAAAAAACAGATTGTTGTATGCGATGAATCATAATGATGGTTTGAAACACATACCCCATTTTACAGACGCCAACTCGCAAAAGCACTCTTAAAATAGCCTTGACAAATTTGCAATGGTAAAGTATAGGGAGAATTTTCCGAGGGTCAAAGGTCGGGGAAAGATCCATAACGATTTTTAAAACGTAATATTAAAGGGAGACGCACGCGCTCTGTCACCACATATGCTAGGCACATATTTAGACACTTCGAAAAATAAAGAAAATGGCAATTATCACTAATAAAAGACAGAGAAATAAAAATATTACCCACACTGAATAGCCTGGGTAAATATCCAATAGATGCACTTGAGTATAGTACTGGAATTTAGAAATAATAAATTGTTAGCGGTAGGCACTTTTTTAGGCACTTATTTAGGCACTTCGAAAAAAAAGGTGAAATGGGCGTAATAACTTTTAAAATAATAATTAATTAGTTGAAAATTGTCAAATTAAATGTATAGCACGCAAATTGCAATGGGTGAACCGAATAACAATATTTAAAACGTAGTATTAAAAGGAGTCACACGCGCTCGGTCACCACATATGCTAGGCACATATTTAGGCACTTCGAAAAAAGAAGAAAATCGGAATTATTACCAATAAAAGACAGAGTATTAAAAATTTCACCCACACTGATTAGCCTGGGCAAATATCCAATACATGCACTTGAGTTTAGTACTGGAATTTAGAAATAATAAATTGTTACCGGTATGCACTTTTTTAGGCACTTATTTAGGCACTTCGAAAAAAAAGGTGAAATGGACGTAGTAACTCCTAGAAAGATAATGAATTAGTTTAAAATATTTAAATTAAATGTTGAACGCAAAAATTGCAACAGTTAAACCCAATAACGTTTTTAAAACATAGTATTAAAGGGAGACGCACGCGCTCTGTCACCACATATGCTAGGCACATATTTAGACACTTGGAAATATAAAGAAAATGGTAATTATCATGAATTAAAATACAGAAAATAAAAATATTAGTAAAAATAATTAGCCTATTTGAATATCCGATGAATGCACTTGAGTCTAGTAGTGATATTTGAGAATAATAAATTGTTACCGGTAGGCACTTTTTAAAATGTAGTATCAGACGCAGTCGCGCTGGATATACCTAGAAGAAAATGAGATTTATCACCAATAAATCGCCATGAAATAAGTATATATTCGTCATAACAGGTATCCGGGGCCATATTTTAATCATGTTTTTTTTTCGATCGATTTTGTTGTCGGTTTAGCTGATTACGAGATTAATATGCATTCATATGCGATGTACACAATTGATTCTAGTAGTATCAATTAAAAATGTTGAATTGGTACCGGGTCCAGAGAGACTGCACGTGAATATATATATAGTTTATTCTGTGTTTTTCCCTTAAACATTTAATTAAAAATTTAAAAACACCTGTGAATTGAATAATTTATTAATGACGGACAAAGAATCATGCAAATATATTTGATTAAACATTTAAAAAATTGAAACCGTTATAAAGATACACCGAGTTCATAATGATTTCTGTGATACACATTCTAGCAATTGAAGACACATATCCGACTAACGAACTTATTGTTCTTTTAATTGAGAATGGTAAATTGAGATCGGTGGCATAATTGCAGGTATTTTGGAAAATAGGAAAGTGGGCGTTGCCAATAAAACTATTATATATGACTTTAATTATTTTAATTATAGCATTTACCAAACTCACGTAGCATACGAACATCTAATAAAGTTTTGTTATCTGGAAGGAACTTTATTTGGTAAAACGTAGCATCTATTGTATAATATTGATGTCGCTCTATTATATTTTCACTACGATATATCGGCGAAACCTGAGAGCTGTTAAGCACTAGCGATCATACTTTCTGATTCATTTTATAAACTGCAAGACCTAGATTAATTGATATATTTAGGGCATCGTGATTGGGGAGACTGTATACTATTTTACAAACATAGGGGAAGGTGGGGCACGTTGGGACATGGGGCACAGTGGAAAATCAGCTCTCACACTAATACTATATTCGGAATCCAGTCCGCGGTTTGATGTTTCAATCCGCTCTTCGGTGAGTTACAACGTCCCTGCAAACGGACAGCGGACGGGTAGAGCGACGCAAGCTATGAGGTGAAATTGGTTTTGGGGGGTTGAAACTAAAATTTCACCGTTCCAGTTTTTTCTTTTTTCTAACTTAGCCTTTTCAACGTGACAAACCACCGTCTGATATCTTTCAGCTATAGTCCACTGTGAAATATTTATAACGTTGGCGAGTGGATGGGTCTTCCGAATTTCGCCGTGGGATGATCTGAAGATATTTGTTGATTATGGGGAACAATGGACCGGGGTTCAGTGGGACATGCCCTACATGGCACAGTTCCACAGTGTTTGATACAACAAGTGCTTAGAGACCTAGAGATGCGTTATATTTTTATGTAACAATATGGTATCTTTCAACTCATGGTCCAATATGAAATATATTCGAGAATCAAAAATATTTCCAGATTTAGATTCGGATTAGAAAATAATTTAATTTGTAAGCGAATTTATCTGAAATATTTCGGTTAAACATTGATTTTAAAAATCCTAAATCTTCAAATTTGAAGTCTCCCTGTTCTTTAGACGATTATGCCGATTGATTGCTTATTTTTAAGGGCATACTTCGTTGAATTTTAACAGAATGACCCATTGTGCCCCAGGGTCTGTCCGAATGTGCCCCACAAGTGGGGTACAGTGGGACACTTGACAAACGTTTTTCGAAGCATTTTGGTGGTAAGATGTGTGTCATAAGGAAATTTCTTAGTCGCTGAATAAAAACTACATTTACCCCTCTCTGCATTTATCCCGCAAAGTCATATGAATCTGCAGAATAAAGGGCTCGAAATATGAAAAAGAAAAAAAGTGTCCCAACCTTCCCCACTTTCCCCTACTGTGCTGTCAAAAATCGTTTCAAAATTACTAAATGTTGAACATTTATAACGAAAATTAATCTGTAAATAAGCTGCCATGAAACTTCATGTCAATATACAGTATATATACAGTCGCTGGTGAATAATTTTTTAACAGCTCAAAATCCAAAATAAAGCAGAGACTGTAAAGAGGTCCAAAATCTCACATGTTAAAAAGAGATATTGAAATACGATTGTAAAAAACTACTTAATGATTTACATTGCAAATTTGTTACGAAAAGTTGTGAAAAAAATAGGATGTAATGCAGTTCAATTATCCGAAGAAGATGAAACACCTGGTAAATCAGCGTTTTCTAGCAAGGAGGAATTCGTTCTTAGTAAAAAGTGTTG